GCGATATGATACTTCATAACTAAAGGGACTCAACTAACTAAAGGTTATGTTAGTATGATAACACCGTATTCCTTAATTGCACCATTACAAAAATTGCTTTGCTCCCGTAATTCGGTTGTAAGGCTTCATATGCAGCTTACTGTATGGTCCATCGTTTGGTCTGTACTGTCTATATGGTTTTTTTTTGGGGGGGGGGGTTTTTTGAGAATTCGGCCCTCGTCTCAAACTCTCCAACTGTTTCATACCTTCGACGTACACAAAGGCATAACCTCGTTTGTGGAAAGTTGTTTCAAAATGACGAAATATGTCTCTGCTCGCGTGGCATTGCACACAACTCCATAACCTATCAATGATGCTGTGAACCGAAACAATTTCCATCGTTATACCTAGCTAATACATATAGAAGAGACAAGGGGCAATTACAAAGGATAACTTACCTCGACAGCTTGTCCACTTAACGGGCAGATACCTAGCTATATAAACTCGGAGTTTGCGTAGTATACCAATAATCGGGCCCGGAGATTAAGGGTCCTCGTTTTCTATGTATATGCTAATAGACTAAGAATCTAAGATAGGTCAAAAGATTATATTTAGCGTCCAATGCCAAAAACACATGCAGATACTAATAAACCATTGTCTTAGACCTCTAATATAGAGAACCCCGCGTAGCCAGCATCGAAATCATGACGCTCACAAACAAGATATTCGGCCTTGGAATTTGATTTGGAGAAGGGAAATTCTTGATTAACCCCATCTAAACGTTCTAACACATCCAAAAAAAAATGACATCATGCGGGAAACATTAGATGACCTGGCAAAGACATGATCACGAGAAATATGACAGAAAATATGGAAATCGATACTAGACATACATAGTCTCTACCAGGGCGTCTGTACAGTCCTCGAAACGAAGAGAATTGTGGCTTAAGTAATTATGTATGTGCATATGGACATGGCTCTTAGCACGAATTTTACTCCCTCGCGGAACACTTGCCGACCACTTGAAGTCTTTTGTGCTCCGGTAGTCTTTATTTCGACTTACAGCTGAGAATAGCGTCTGTCCAAGGCCCACAGCAACTCTCTCTCTACATCCCAGCCACCTGGGACAAGAAGGACAACACCGCATGAATCAGGCCATTATCCATTTACCCGCCTACGGAGTACTAAAATAGGCTTTTCTTCTGCACGGACAATACTCAAAGCGATTTAGAGAAGCTCCTTAGGGCTGCTGCTACGCTGTCCTTCGCGTGACCATCAGCCTCCCACGATCTGCTTCGTCGATATTCGATTGAATCATAGGCTAATAGAAAGATGGTATGGCGTGAATTCTCATCGTTAAGCTTTTTTCTTATACCGAGAGGTGGCACACACGATCTACGTTGTCTTACGCCGGTCTCTCGGGGGGTTGCTGAGAAATTCCACACCGATCGTTTCCCCGTGATATACAGATAGGGAGATCAAAACTAACGGGAATACCTGAGCTTTTATTCGCTCCTATCTATTCCGATCCGCACTCGTCCTTCCGAGATAGTTAGACTGCATCTGCAGCGCATGTGGAGGCCGAAAGCCATCATCAACGTCGCACGACATATTATTATGATTGAGTGGCTCACCCCTTATCGGTTGAGATCGTACTCCTGACTTGTAGCTTCGAGTGTCGCTACACATCCAATACACTACAAGCCAATATCATGTCTAGGTAGGCAATGAAGTATGTCTGACAATATACATATCGGCGGTCTTGGGGGCAATACTCAGCCCCCCCCCCAACGGATTAAGACTGGCTTCCCTCGCGGTCTAGCAAGACTATTCATAGGGTAAGATGCCTAAACTGTAACATGAAGTAGCCCACTTCTCGCAAGCCTTTCTAGGCAAGCCGTTGACGTACTTGTGTGAGCCTTCTATTTCTACTACTTTCTATGAGGGAAATTTCGTCTGCTGTAGTCGCGGAACTTTGTCAGCCAACCAGCCAGTCAGTCAATATTCTACATTGATACCCTCCCAAACCCATCCCGCGCGAGCTCAGCAGCGATACACTATGAATCATATGCATCACAGCTCGAGGTTTATGAAGTAGGGTTGCCTCGACATTGAAGGATTGTAGGAGAATGGACTGATGAACACATGCCAATTCTTGTCAGATGTCCCCCGACGTCAAAATAGTTCCGACAGGACGTTCATACACGATATACATTGGCCGCAGGATGCTTATGTATGTCTGGTCGGCGTATTAACGGCAAGTACGTTGTCTCAATCCAACTATACAAGGCTACGAGCGTCGACAGCGTGTAGAAGGCCATCTCTCCTAAGGCTTACGAGCTGTGATACCATCGTCCCTGAGCAAGGTCACCAGTTTTTAATTGAGGCAGACAGGCCTCCGGTGACAAGGGAGAAGCTTCAATAATGCAGTGTTTTCTTTACCTTTTCAGGGGTGCGAAGTGACATCCCAAACGTGGGTTGTTGGGTTCGGGGGATGTAGTCACCGGGCCCGTATTTCCTTGGATTACGCGAATTATACGTGATCATGTAGCATCGTCGTGGTATGGAAAGGATGAGAGGGTGATGCCGAAGGGTTGGAGTATGAACCTAGAGAACCCAAAAACGAACATAGAGATATAGGTACGTGTTTGAACAGATTTACTAAGCCGGGCTGTGCCGTCATCTAACTCATTCGAGCCCTAACGCTCATCCTTACGTATTTCTTAATTCATATACACGGTGCCTAATTTTCTTATTCCTTAGATTAATAATAAGGGGTAATAGAGCATATAGAGCAATGCCTAGTAGGCTATTAAATTCTTACCGCAAAATAATTCCAATAGGAAGTAAGTCCTAAAGGAAGCCGACTACCCTAACGAGCAATAATTTTCGAGAGACACGGTAGTAGCACGAGTATGTGATATATACCGTTCCCCGAGAAGAATATCTATGAGGCTTAATATACTCTACCCACGTAAAAGCCCCGAACCTCAAATTTTTCACCTAGTGTAAGCCTATGCGAATGCGGATTTCTGGTCTAATGATATTAAGGCTTGTACGACAACACTGGCAACGTCACAGTTATGAAACATGTGCGTTTATCTAAGAAACGTGGTAGTCTTATGAAATGTCATATCTCATTTTTAACAGGGTTACGATTGAGTTATCAAGCAATCAGGACCTTATCATGAGAGGAAGCTGTGTAAGATAGACTTAGAACACCCTCCTGTTCCGAACCAAAGTCGCTTTCGTGGTGATCTGAGAGTTCGTACGTGGGTTAGTTTGGTTAAGTGAATACAGAAGCATAGGTTCTAATAAAAGGGTAACCTAACATCTTTAACTTTGAAACTCTTAAAGGCCTTGTCAATAAGTCTTTGAGGAAGTTCGGTTGGAAATGCGTCATTAGGCCATACAACTTAACTTACACTTATGATAGCACTGAGGCTTAAATACATACATGGTAGGCACCTCTTTATTAAGTCTCAATGCATACATACATATACCTACCTCTTTACTTATATTAACCAACTTGTCTTAAAACAAGCCAGTTAACTAGCACATGGATGATGGGATTTTCAGCGATACATGAACGTAAACATGTTATAAGTTGGTCGTAATCTTCAAATCGAGGGTCCTAAGTTTCAATGGTACACGTGAATATGTTTCAGTAGTTCTTTGAAGTAAAAGACAACTCTAGGCGTTGCTGATTAGCTTAACCTAGGTAGGTACTTAATGTTCTCTACAACGCACACTTAGTTAGCCTAGGCATTTACCATGTGTTGATTCAATTAGCGGACTGAAGTGCTGAGTAATAAGAGAAATATAAATATTAAAGTGAAGGTTAAGTAGTAACTGCCCAGCAAAAGCTGCCTCGTAGTAGCTAAGAAGAATAGCGTAAGATCGTTCGTTCCTGTCAGCCCATCAGCTAGCTCCACTCGCCCCTTTCCGGAAGTCTGGGCATACTAGGATAAGCTTCCGCGTGCTAGCTATTAGTATGTAACACCCTTAAACCAATCAGAATTTAGCATACACGATGAATAAAGTAGCTACCCCAGAAATCAGGTACTCCATATCCCATTCGAGCTTAGCCTACGGGGTGCTCTGATGTTCCGTCAACAAGCCGCCATGGATTTCAACTTGTCTTTCCTGTTTACCACCTAAATGCCCAGTTCGTCTAAACGTCACCTCATCATCTCCTACGTATTTATATTGATTGCTATTTGTAACGACTTCATAACTACGGATATGTGCAACCCGCTATCATCTAGGTAGCTAAGTTGTAGTAGAATTATTCTACAGAGATCAGAATCGGTACCTTCATAAGAGTGCATGTTACCGTCGTCGCCTAGCTCGAATCCATCGGCATCAATCAACAACCATGGCTGACCAAAGTCAGCGTCCAAATGGCGAACGGACACCCCTGCTTCGTGATGCAACTAGTAACCATGTTGACGAGAGCGGAAGGGATGCGGCTACGGAAGAAGATCTCGCCCTTCTTAATGATCAGGTTAAAACCTTGAGGCGTCGTCGCTGGATATCGCTGGTTGTCAGCGCCTTTCTCATCGTCGCTTTCATCGTAATATTAATTTTATCTGGCCGTAAGTATTGTTCCCCAGATAATACCACCATTTTCCTCTTGAATCCATCAGGTGTTGGACTTGCTAGTGTTCACGATGTTGGCTCTTCCGCGTAAATACACCTATTTAAAAGTATCACCGAGTTCAAACTCTGTGTTATGTTACTACGTTTCCTTATCCCATCGACTAGATGCTAGCAGTCTTTGGCTATATAGATTGGACGAATGCTGTACCCTGACGCAATCCGTGGACTGGGAGTAAAGAAAAATTACATTCATCCGCGAATTCTTCCTCCCCACTAGATCAAATTCGACTCGAGCCTGCAATCTCACATTTGCAATTTTGCCGTAACCTTATCTTTCACTCTTTCACCAAAACTTCAACCTTCTATCTTCTATCTTCTATACACTTCCTTGCATCTACTCCGAAGCTGCTTTCTAACATTATTATAGTCCTGTCGCGTGCCCGACGGAAGCCTGGCATGAGTTCGTCGTTATGCCTGTCACCGGCCGTATGTAGTACTCCGAGTTCCCCTATCCCCCCTATGGCTTGTCTTGAAAATAGGACATCATAATCGAGCTCGCTAGGGAGTAATTTCACTCGAAAGCAGCCTGAAGCCCCAACAATTGAAAATAGAAATCGTTAACTTATATTTTACTGTAGTGCATTCACGCAGCGTCCGAGATTCTCTGTTAGTCAATTACCGTAATCCCTAATCCAGTGAGCAGGAGCTTATTATAATATTAGATAATCTATCTCCGGATTATGAGACAATCGATCCATGCACGAACTTTGACACCCTTGTCTGTGATGGGTTTATCAACCGTCATGACATTCCGCAGGACAAGTCCTCCTATTCGACAGCGACTATTATGTCTGAAACTGGTCAAACCACCCTCAGGCATATCTTAGAGTCTTCCTATCCAACTACCTCAAAGGTAAGCGTGTATTAATTGTGACTTGACGTTTGAGTTCAGTCTCCTAGCCTTATAATATAGGATAATATAGGATAATATATGGAAACATAGTTATACTCTCCTACCCTTTAAGTCCTGGTTACACCTTGCTAATGTATGCTTTATAGCACTCTTCGTTTTCGCCGCAGAATCTCATCAAGATTGCTGCTTCTACTGACGAAGAGAATTTCCGTATGATACAGGATGCTTACAACTCATGCTTAGACGAGGAAACTCTTCAGAAAGTAGGCGTTAAGCCCCTTATCGACTTAATAAACCAGGTTGCCACCTCTTTCCCTGTTAGCGATGCTTACGGGGGTGATTCACCACTTAAAGAGACGGACTATGCTGCTCTTAGTGATACCATTCTACTCCTTGAAAAATTAGGGGTTTCTTCCTTTGTGGGCCTTACTGCCGGTGCCGATGACAAGAACCCCGATGTAGTAATTGTCCAAGCATACCCTGCGGGATTAACGTTGCCTTCGCCGGAATACTATCAGGATAATGACACCGTGAGCAAGTATGAAACCATGTTAGGAGAAATTTTCACTGGCCTCCTTCCGAGCACGTCTTCGAAATCATCAGCTAAAGAACTTGCCCAATCTGTCATCGAACTTGAGAAGAAGATTGCGGCGGTAACACCACCTCCCGAGGATCAATCAGATGTTACTGTGAGTAAAATCACTTATTTAGTAAAAGGTTCGCGGGCAGAGCTGACCAGTTTAGAAATATTACAACATCGTCAAAGTTGCTGATACCGGCAAGATTGGTCCGGCAATCGGGCTAGACTCTATCGTTAAAGCCTTAGCCCCCCAGGATTACACAGCGGATACTATGCTATTGGCATTCCCAGAGTTCCTAGGCAATGTCTCCAACATTCTCTCCAAAACTTCCAAGTCCACAGTGCAAAGTTATTTAGTTTGGCAACTAGTAAACACATATTCTTCTTACGTTGAAGGACCAGAAGTCCAGCCGATTGTTCGCTTTTCCAACACTCTATCTGGAAGGGTATGTACCTATCTATTGCATAGGCTCAGGAGTAGTAAATGTCTAACAGTTTCTAGGACCCCGATACTAAGACTGAGCGATGGAAGACTTGCGTCAGCTACGTTGATTCTACACTGGGTTGGATATTGAGTCGATTTTACATCGAGGCAACCTTCTCGGACGAAGCAAAGAAGTTCGGTGACCAGATCATACTTGACATCAAGAAGCAATTTATTTCGAAGTTAAATGATCTCAGTTGGATGGATGACTCGGTCAAAAAATTAGCTGTCAACAAGGTGAACAATATCGACCAGAAGATTGGGTTCCCAACGACCTCTCCGAACATAACAAATCCGGAGGCATTGCAAGCTTACTACAGTGGCTTGAAAATTTCCGATTCCTTCTTCAACAACACTTTGTCGAGCAATGCCCAAGAAACCAACAGGACTTGGTCAGCCCTTGGAAAGCCAGTTGACCACGGCGAGTGGGGTATGCAAGCGGACATTGTGAACGCCTACTACAACCCGGTAGGAAACGAAATCGTCTTCCCGGCCGGTATCATGCAGTTCCCCGTCTTCCAGCTAGAGCTACCAAGCTACGTATCTTACGGTGCTTTTGCATCAGTCGCCGGCCACGAGCTTTCCCACGCATTCGACAACTCTGGCCGACACTACGACGAACATGGAAACTTCACAGACTGGTGGACAAATAACACAGTACAGGAATTCGACAAGCGCGCCAACTGCTTCGTGGAACAGTACAGCAACTTTACCGTTCAGGGAAACAATGGCGAGTCTCTACACGTCAACGGAAGACTTACTCTAGGAGAAAATATTGCCGACGCAGGTGGTGTCTCGGCAGCTTTCGCGGCGTGGAAGAGCCGGACGGAGGCGTCACCCGACCAGAATCTCCCCGGACTGGACTTCTTCACGCAAGACCAGCTTTTCTTTGTCTTCTACGCTAACTGGTGGTGCGGCAAGAACCGCAATGAAGAAGCCATCCGACGCATCTACACGGACCCGCACTCGCCGGCGTTTGCGCGCGTGTTGGGGACGACGGCTAACTCGAAGGCGTTCAGGGAGAGCTTCAAGTGCCCGGTGAAGGAGCCTACGTGTGAGTTATGGTGATCATGGGGAAGGGGTAATGCCTGGTAATAATGTGTGTTGGTTGGTTTAATCAGAAATTGATGTCTTTTGTATTCGATAATTTAACATAGGGAATTAAATGCCATTGCAATAATATTGGCTTGTCCGTAATTACTGTCTCGTTTGCTTTTACTGTGGTGAATATCTACCCTTGAATACATGCAATCCGTAAGTTATTACTCAACATGACATTTAGTTGTATATATAAGTCTCAATAATGCCATGGGCTTAGGTATAGCCATGCAGAGTTTCTGGAGGAGGTTTTCACCGATGGATCCTATTAATACACACAATTTTCATCTTTAAACCTCAACCTTTCCAACTTCAACACGGGCTATCAAGCGGTCCTTTTACATGTCCACATCGCTATGGCCATAACCATATAACTGCCAAATTTTGTGTAGAACTCCATTAGGATGAACGTTTCCGTACCGAACCAACTGAATCGATGATTTGACGCCATAGCCAAACACCGGAGAGAAAGTATAGAATGGGCATCTAAACCCTACAAAACTACCTAATATGCCTGGTACGAACTGTCAAGGTGCACACTGTAATATATCATTATTCTTCAATGCGCTACATGCTGTTTAGAAAAATTGCGTCCTCTCATAGTATCTTCCGAGAGGTACCATCGCTTTAAAAGCCGAGCTTCTGCTTCTTGATCCGCGGGAAGACACCAATGACTATTAACAACGAGATGACGATCGTGGCCCACAGCTTCAGCCCTAGGACATTTATGTTGTAGTCAGTCTGCGTTGCGCTAATCACAGTAGCCGCAAGGAACAAGAGCAGGACATAGCCGCTCGAGCGGTGGTACTTCCAGATGCTCTTGGCTTGCGCCTCGCCGCCATACAGCTTCGGGACAGCGAACATGGTGAACCCAATCAGATACTGGGCCAGCAGCCAGAACGAAGCAATGACGCCCAAGTATCCATGGACAGAGTGGAAGTGCGCGCCGTTATTTACAAACTTGTTGACCTCGATGCTGATGACGCCGACACCGAAGGTGACAATGCCCAGGAAGTTTAGCCCGGCGTGGATCTTCTGGCCGACCTGCTTCTGGGCGCCGGTGTGCGTGGGCTGCAGGACGAGGATCGACTGGATGAGCACGAGCAGGCCGAGCGATTGCGCGAGAGGGTGCACCGAGAATAGGATCAGTGGCCCGTTGAGGAAGACGGCGGCCCAGACGGAGGCTACGAGGAGGATGCCGCCAGCCTCGGCGATTACGCCGGTGCCTGAGGATTGTATAAGCTTTGGCATAGTAAAGTAGAGTAGAGTAGAGTAGTAGTATAGTATAGTAGCAGTGGACACGGGAGTATCGAGTAGCGAATATACACTATATTGAAGATGTCTTTCTAGAAGCGAAGGCGGGGCAAGGACTTGAAGAACATCACATCCATGTTAACGGAAGAGAATAAATAAATAGAAAACCGTACCAATGACCAAGTTTTTGACTATGGGAGCATTGTCCCTTTGAGAAACATCCCCCGGGTGGCCTAGCAGAGGTTCTAGGTCGTCTTGTTGTCCGTTGTCCGAATCAACCGGGGGATGTTGGGGTATTCCCGTCGCCGAAGCCATTGTGGCTATTTTTAATTATTTAATTAAGTAGTGCACTACTGGGGTATTTGTATACATGTATGTAATGTAGTGTAGTGTATAGGTAAATGACGGGATTCGAGGCGGTGCGTGACGTAGAGAGTTGAAAGCTGAAAGCAAGCAAAAGAGATTTAAAGATTAGGATTGGTTTAACTAGAGCCAGACGGAAACTCTCTTAAAAGATGCTCTGTTTCATATCAATGGGCTGGTACATACCTAGGAGGTAGCTAAGTTCCTAAAAGGATCGAGCTCATCATCGACGGCGGACATGACGGGCTGGCTGCTGAAGGCAAGCTTTGACCAATTAGAGCCCTGCGATTCCCAAGCAGTCGCTGTATTTTGAGGGAGAACTACATGTACATACTACGTATGCGACTTACATACATGTCTAAGCTAGTGCGGGGGAGTTACACAGATAACCCCTGGTTCGGGAAGGTCTTTTATACCTGTACCTTAGGTACCTAATTACTAGTAATAAGTACAGACCGCTTTAACACGGAAATATGTTTCATATCAAGCTTTCAGGTAAGAAGGAAATGCAGGATATTAAGTGCATGGGTGGGATCGAGAATTATATATAATGTATATATCATGACTTTATAAACGAAAAATACCCAATTATTGGCATGATATAAGGCTAAAGACAAACAAGACGAGGGACATGCGGGGCTGGTATACATACGTACTTTGTACATACATGTAGTTAAATGATATTACACATGTCATAAGCCGCTAATCATGCTTAAGTGTAAACCGTCCACTTACACAATTGGTCCATACTAGACAACAGCTTTCCCGTTCGGTTGTAGTATACTAAGATTACCTAAGATCCAATAGGTACACATATCCTTTACCTACATGATGTGGGAAGTAGCCGTCTCCCGTATTCCGGAGCTCGCCCCACTAGATTAGTGCCTCGCGACTTCGAGGTCGGAATGGCAGAATGGGTGGTTATTCCTCAAAACGGGTCGGTTTTCTGTAAAGTAGAATATGTGAAACTATTTTGTTTCTCATGCCACATTACACATTATTGAAATCTTACTTCTTAGGAACGCCATGTTCATTTTACAAAGAATTAATTTCAGTCAACTACCATTAAACATGACTGAAGACATCGAGTACAAGTTAGACGCTGTCGAGGCGACACCTATTGCCTCGGATGAAATCGACAAGACTTTCCGATCTACTAATATTGGTACGTGAATATGAAATATGAACATGTGCAGTGGTGGAGGAAAGAAAGCACACCCAAATAAATTATCTGGGACCTGGACTTTCTTAGGCTAACTCATATCCTATCTATCCTATCAGACTTAATCTCTGGAACATTGGGAGGCAAGGTCCTAGGTTTCTCGGACCAATGGTTTGCCGATGCTATCAACCTGCTGACGCCTACGCCTCCCATCAGGCAACCTGGTAAGATGGTCTACACAGGTGCTTGGTATGACGGTTGGGAAACAAGAAGACATAATCCAGAGCCTTTTGACTGGGTTGTCATACGGCTCGGCGTTGCTTCCGGAACCGTAGAAGGAGTTGATGTTGATACTGCATTCTTCTCCGGCAACCATGCTCCGGCGATTTCCGTCGAAGGCTGCTTTTCCGTAAATGATGACGAAGTTCTCTCATGGAAAGGAGAAAAGGGGAACTGGGAAACCATTCTCGGCATCCAGGAATGTGGTCCCTCGCAAAGATTTGGTTGGAAGTTGGATAACCCTACCTCGAAGCAGTACACGCACGTCAGGTTAAACATGTATCCTGACGGCGGTATCGCGAGATTTCGACTATTCGGTCACGCAGTACCGGTTTTCCCGGACGACGTAGATGCAATTTTCGATTTAGCTGCTGCTCAAAACGGCGGCGTAGCAGTCTCATGTAGCGACCAGCACTTCGGCACAAAGGATAACCTCATCCTACCTGGCCGGGGTAAGGACATGGGCGATGGCTGGGAAACTGCACGTTCTAGAACTAAGGGACATGTCGATTGGGCTATCATCCGCCTAGGTGCTCCGGCCCTCATCCAAAGTTTCGTGGTGGACACGGCCTTTTTCCGAGGAAACTTCCCTCAGAAAACGAAGCTTGACGCTATAGAGTGGAAAGGGGCTGGTGAGCCTGCGGCGGATGCCGAAGGTTGGACCGAGGTCCTCGAGCCCAGTCGGTGCGGACCTGATCAGGAGCATAGCTTTGACTCTGCGATTAAAGACCAACGCTTCACTCATGTCAAACTTACTATTATTCCCGACGGAGGCGTAAAGCGGTTGCGGGTGCTAGCTAAGAGGGCCATCTGAGTACCTAATGTGGTTTAATTGATGGAAAAGGAGTGAATTGTTTTCCCAATGCATAGTGTATTAACCTAGGTACTTTATTTACCCAAGTTTTAGCTTTAGTAAAACCAATGGCTGGGGATTGGGATTAAAGATCTCGTATCACGGTTAACTACTTGCGAGTGTAAACGAATTTGAGGGTTTGAATAGCCTTTTAGCACTGTATCTGTACTACATGTATGTAGGTAGGTATGTATAGGGGTTGTGCACGGACCAATTCATGTAGGTACCTAGTAAGGTTCTGATATGGTTGTGGCAGTTCTATTGTGGCTACCATGTCATCTACCTATCTATCTCTATCTAAATGTTCTAATCTAAATGCTTGGCTTAAGGTAGTGCATTACTTTAACCATACTTTAACACTGAACCATACTTTTAATGCTTTTAATGACGAACGTTCTCATTGAAGTCTAGCCCAATATAAAGACCCACAGATCAATCAATAAGGAATCTCCCTTCTAGAAAGCATGATTGTCCTCCTATTTAACGCGACGAGTCAGACGAGTTCTTGAGCGAAATATTCCTATGCCTCCTACTTGGCGATGGATTTTGGGGATTCTGATGGCGGGGGCTTCGGCGGGGAGCAACCGTCGAAGCCTCGAGCTCTCCCAGCCGATCTCCCAAAGTCTCTAGATGACCGTAGAATTGTATCGACAGAGCTAGTCTCCGAGACTGAGATGTACGATGGCTGGCAAGGTTTGTGGCCTACGACGCTTATCCGCAAGCTGTGTTGAAACATTCATTTGGATACTAATCGTGGCAACTTCTTTCTAGGTCAATCCCAGTTCTTGACAAGCCCCATGCTTGCGAAGCCGCTGCAGTTTAGCAACCTAACTTTAGATGATTCCAACTACGATCAAGACTTGGCGAATAGCATGCCCGATAGCGATACGCGACTGATGCAGATGCTTGCAGCGCAAGCTCAACACCTTGGAGGGGAGGCTTTTGGCGATGTGGATGCTATTGCGACAGATGAGAAACTTCCAGATGAGGAGAAGACTTCGATACTTCAAAAGGCCTTGATTATGTCCGCGAGCAATGGCGACCTTGATAACGTAAAGAAGATACTTAGTGGGAAGGCAAGGTCGTTCATTGATATCAATGCGCCAGATGAAGAGGGAACGCCATCCTTGGTTTATGCTAGTTGCTTTGTCAGTCAAGATATTTATGGCCAACGTCTATTGATCGCTAATTTTGCCTAGGGACACGAAACTGTAGTACAGGCTCTCGTAGATGCTGGGGTCGATGTAGACAAGCAGGATCGCAACTATTGGAGCCCCTTAATGTGGGCAATGACGAATAGACACAAGGGCATTGCGAAGACACTGCTAGACAACGGAGCATCACCTGAGGCGAAGACCTCGTCTGGAAGAACAGCTTTTGATTTTGTTGCACCCGACAGCGAGATGTCGTTCTACTTACACGATAACGGCTATAGCCTTGGGAACGCTGGGGTGACCGATGACTTCTATAACCCTGGCTTCTCTCAAGATAGGTTTGAAGAGGAGATGGCCGAAAACGAATTCCGTCGACGAATGATGATGGATAGCGCACGCGACCTGGAGGTTGATTTGGGCAATATGGGAATAGACGATCAACCTGAGGTAAGTTGCTCTGACCTCGAAAGCATAACTGACCGGCTAACTGGATTATTATAGCCCATGGACGAGTTCGAAGAAGATCTACAAGAATTTGACTGGAACAGGTGTTTGCATGACCAAATGTTCGTATTTCAAGAGAGCGACCTAGACAAGATGCTGGATATGGTTATTACCAACATGCAACCTCAACGATCACCTTCCCAGAAGCCTGTTCCAGCGAACATGATCTTCCTCAGCGCGCGATACGCCCACTACCATTCAAGCCACGAGTTGTTGGCTAAGTTGCTCGTTACTGCTCAGGATAAAATTAACGAAGTCGTCGAAGCCCATCAATGGGACATGACCATCTTGGCCTTTTGGATGTCCAACGCAACCCTGTTACTACACTACCTAAAGAAAGACGCCGGCTTAGTCGAGGCGACAACAGAGTTCCAGGCACAGCTTGCAGAACTCGTCAACGAGATTTTTATTCTTATCGTGAGAGATGCCGAAAGACGGTTAGATAAAGTTCTGGACGCCGCGATGCTTGACCATGAGACTATACCCGGGCTTGAAGATGTTACTTTCCAACATGAGTGGAAACTATTCAAGAGGAAAAAGGAGGTTAAGGAAGAGCCCCTAGAGAAGCGACTACGCCCCCCTTCTCCAAAGCAGCGTGCTAAGCCCGCTCCCCGAAATGTAACATCCCTTCTATCATCTACTTTATTCGTCCTCGACCTATATGACATTCACTCGGTAATCACGTCTCAAATCATATCTCAACTACTCTACTGGATCGGTGCGGAACTATTCAATCGGATTATGAACAATAGAAAATACCTCGCAAGAACGAAGGCGATGCAGATTAGGATGAATGTTTCGGTTCTGGAGGATTGGGCTCGATCTAACAACCGTCAGCCCGAGCACTATGAACATGGAGAGATGGTCTCATCTGGGGAGACGACAATGGAAGCAGCACGCAAACATCTGGCGCCCGTCGTGCAGCTTCTTCAGTGGTTACAGTGTTTTTCATCTCTAGATTCAGATAATCTAGAAGCTTTAATCGGGACGCTTCAACAACTTAAGCGACTAAGTTCTGAGCAGTTAATTTACGCTGCTAAAAATTATCGGCTAGAAGTAGGAGAAAAGGGGTTGCCTAAGAGCGCCATGAAATACCTCGATGCAATTCGGAAAGAGGCCGCGCTCAGAAGAGATCGCAGGAGAACGGCGTCGCCAATGCCTAGCGCACCATCGACGCCTATCAGGAATACGTATAACGGTCATAATGCGGAAACACCGGGAAGCATACAAGGCACACCAAACCCAGAACAAGACGATGACGACGACATACCAGATGGGATCAATCTCGATCCGTCCTTGATGTTACCATTCACACTGCCAACAGTCACAGACATGCTTATTTCTTACGGCGCCGGATTTGGAGGAGTCAATCGGGAGCGAGAGAGAAAGTACATTCCAACGATTTCACCAGAATTGCTCGATAAGCTGGAAGTAAGCAGCTATCCAAGCCGACCAATATTTGGTGAAAAGGATTGGGAGAATGAAGAAGTTTGATGGCCTGACCGATGGTGATTCACAAAGCGGTCAGCGAATAGAAGACACCCTACAGCTCGGGCCAACTCAGCAATGCATGACGTTCTACTCATCACAAGCTACCTTAAATACCGAATAGATTGATACGGCCGAAATCTGTCGCGTTGGCGCCAACAGAGGGGGACGTAGACGCGATAATAAACCTTATGCAAGCTGCAAGGGACGAACGCGTGGTTCAGGGGAACTTAAGGGTTCAACTGCATATCGCCTACGGGAGAGGCGTCGGGATGAGTGAGAGGAGGCCAGTAAAACCCCTCGAAAGCTGTTACTAGTGTATCCCACCACAGAGGACTGGACACGACGGCATGTCACTATTGGAAGATGATATCAATTGGAGGGATACATAGTAGATATGTGCATATTCGAAGACAGGGAAGAGAAGAGTTTTTCTTTTCTGAGGGTTTTTGCAACCATCTGACTGTATTCAATCTTTAATGCTAGAAAATGCCGTGGCCGTTGTCTAGCGGACCTGTTCAATACCAGGTAGCCAATAGTATTTGCTTTTAACTAAGGCCTCATGTCGTTTGTGATGCGGTCAGGACAGATGCAGGCCCAACGGCTGCCAACTGTCGTGTTCGGTATTCCCTAGCTAGCTACCTGAGGTACCTACCTAGCTAGGTCATATCATATCCAATCGAGTTTAAGCAATTCCTCTAGGTTCGTCAAGGGGTCACCGATTACCAGCCTCTTAAGTCTTGGCAACAAATGCAAACAAGGGTTATTAGCTACGTGCGCGAATACTCAGGATCAAGCCCGAAAAGTTCGAAAATGTTAAGACATATTTGTATGATTATATCATCCTCTTCTTTCACAACAGTAAGCTTAGAGGTGTTTGCGATAAATGGGCGATTCTCTGGCACCCCGCGCGCATTTCATCTAATTGGTGGCGGTCGATAGACTTGGATGGGCTGGCTAAAATGGACACGTCAATGCTTCTACCCAGGGAGTTGAGGCCGGAGCTGATGGGCCCGCGGGATTATCTGATGCGTCCATTGAGGAGGGACGGGCTTCCAGACCCAGACCGTTTTCCATTCATCTCTGGGAGTGACGTATACCTGCTGCTTACCCCGCCGAGATGACCGGATGGGTGGGCATTTACTATGTTTGCGCGTATAGTGTATAACGGTATTCTGAGGATTTTTAAATATAGCATCTCTAGTCGAAGAAAATAGAGGATGTGGTGTATGTGGTGTATAAGTGGCTATCGTCTTTACTAGCCCTTTTTCCCATTCTTTTTACCCTCCGCTCCCGACTCGGCTAACTTCAGGTCGATCCTGGGATCTTGCATCTGCAGACAGTCCAATGAGAGCGAGGAATACGGCGGCCCCCCGGTAGTACTTGGCCGATTCGACATATGTACATATCTCTGACCTCCAATTACGTGGAGCACCCTTCTCAGGATAAACGGAGCGGTACTATACAACCTACTTTATCGATTAGGAAATTCTGAAGACGCGGACAGGCGGAGGAGTATAGCATTTATCAACTTCGAGAAGCTCTGCTGTAACCCACTTGGTAATGGAGCGTGAAGAGTTTTGCGGGGGCGACGGGACTAAAATTCGGGGTCGGCGAGCGAGATTTCAGACTTTCCTGATATTGAATATATGTCTGTGACTTACTATTACACACTCACATGTTGTTAGTCTTGCTCTTACAAAAGCCGGTTGTTATAGTACAGGGTCGGATGACCTTGTGCACGCATTATAGAGAAGAGTTAAGACTCGGCATCAGGCATATAACCTAACAAAATACCTGTAAAATACCTGTCTTAATAAGTGACTTATAACTTACGTAGTCAGTAGACCGCTAGACATCCCCTTCAAGTATACATGGGATGAGTCCATTAAAAAAGAACGGTGCGTGACCGCTCCGGCCTTGGATTGTCGGTCTAGCATAGAAAAGTACCGCAGTTTGACCAATGCTAAAAATTGTAGCGGGCCAAAGCTGGGAAGAGTGGAAACCGTGTCTCTGACCCCAGCCAATTGGGAGAAATGGTAATGGTGGTTGTAAGTTGGTGATGTGCATCGCTTCTGTCGACGCCGTCCGGGTCCTAGCATGTAAAAAGAAAAAAGAAGAGAAAAATAGAAACCCCCGTACCCCCCCCCGTTAGCTACCTATGTAGTAGTGCCGGCCATGGGCCATGGGCCACGGTGCTAATGGAATTCGCTTCCGCCACGACAAACCAGGCTGCATGCTGGCCAGATCAGATGAGCCGTGGCCCAAAAAGAATATATAGGTTAGGTAGGTATGTACCTAAGACAGACAAACATATTAAAGTAACCGACCCCCGGCTAGTGGATGTGTATAGGAAAGAGAAGAAAAAAAAAGAATTGGAAAGTGAGTAATACGAGTACATACCTATATACATACATTTACCTATTTACCTATTTGGTAGAGCTACGCTTGTTTAACAACTGAGGCGTCCTTGGTGTAAGTGACTAACGGTCTAGAACTTCCCGATTCGTCTCTTAAGTCAATAAATTGAGTTTTCACATATCTATCGAAAAGAAGGTACGAGTCAGAAGCCTCGACGGACCTTGGCTAGAGTCTTCTAAGCTGTATTTGACCCATATTTCCGCTTCGATAGGTATACATTCATATACATTCACCTTTCTTTTCGTTAATTGACTCTTCCCTGACAACTCCCTCCTCGCCCTAGAAGCGAATCGCGCTAACATATAACTACTTACTTATAGCCGTGTAAGTGGTGGACGAGGCTCGACACGCACGGGTTGTACATATTCCACCATTATTTTCGAGTTGAGAGTCGCAACGGCAAGGGATTACTTCTTTTTTTAAAAAGGGGGAATAAGAAAGAGCCTGCTTGGTCAACTTGTTGCTTGTTGCTTGTTGCTTGTTGCTTGTCGCTTGTCAAGCCCTACCACGGTTACTGGCAGCTCATCCAATCGTTGTTACACCAAGCACGATATCGCTAATTGCACGAAAATAAAATCGTTGCGGACGCAAACGGATTGTGTTCCTTTGACACAACACAAGACAACACACAACAACACCCAGTCAGCCACAATGTTCGGAGTTACACCACACGCGGTACCATGCATAGCACCGCCAGCACCCCCCAAGACAACAAATGGCCGAACTAAGAGCAGGTCCTCAAGTCTTGTTCCTTTCAGAGATGACTCCAAGCTGGTAGCGTTCCGGTACGACCAAACCGTCCAGGCAGAGCCACCTATACCAATACCACCACCTCGATCTTCTCGTCGCCCGCCGCCACGTCCTATTTCGTGCAATACAGCTCGTATTCCCATCGTCGTACCGCCTCCACGTCCCGCCCCTCCTACCGAGCAGCACCCGGCACTAAGAACCATCAGCAGTCCACGGACGAACGTAGATGCGAGAAAGCGGGATTCCTGTCATTCGCCGACTACCCCTTCGAGCTCGTGGACTATTCGCGAGGATAGCGAGACGGACGACGAAGATCCTTTTACCTACGAAAAAGTTAAGAAACTTAGCGAAATTAGACCTCTCCAATTAGCAACTCGTTCCGCATCGCCTTCTCTATATTCGCGTCAAGAGGAACGAGTAAGCGAATCCAACAGCAGGGCTAGCGCTCCTTCACCAGCACTGTCGGACGGCGATACCATTTCGCCAACATCGCCAAACACTCCACCTTCTAACTTCTCAAAAAGGTTTGCAAGAAGCTTCAGTTTGCGATCTAACTCATCCAAATCGTCGTTTTCAAAGATGAAGCGATTACGGAAGAAAGTAGGAAAAGATGGGGTACCGCGTGCTGCTGCTGCTGAGAACCCCGGCTACCCACTAAACGGGCAGGACGAATCGGCGCCTAAATCCCCTAAATCCCCTAAACCCCCTAGCGGCAGATTGTCACCAGTACCTGACCCCCATGGTTCCCCAGTTATTTCAACCGCTATCCCCACCGAGAGATTGTTGGAAGATGACTTTATGACCCAGCTGTCCTTCTCTAAGCGTGGCAGCCTCATTTTTGGCGCCAAGCACCCGCGCAAACCCAACAGGAATCCGCCTAAGATGGCCGAACAACACGGCATCATCGATAATGGAACCGCCGGTGCCGATCGACCTAGAGAACCACGCGCTTTTCCTTTGATACCGACGCGCGAAAAGGCTCCCGATGCCGCCGTCGGCGCGAGCGCGAGCGCAAATGAACCCGCCAAATTCTCAGGGGCTTCCGACGACGCCTTGACCAGCACGCCGCCCACACCGCGCCGGTTACCTCCTAGTGTTCGGGTTATATCTGCTGAGGCGGAGAAGGAATCTCAAAAGGTGAGATCGCTCTATGAATCCGGGGAAGGTGTCAAGTGGGAAGAGGGCGCGAGACACTCGTCGATCGATGAGCGTATCCAGCCCTCAGCAGAAGACCCAGCAGAAGACCCGTCAGAAGATAATGCGAATGATGCGTACGGTTTCCTTATATATCCAACTTCTTTACCTTTGATAATGCTGACAAGTCGCCTCTCTTATAGGTCAAACGACCAGGCTGGGCACCTTACTCCAGTCTCGGCTTCTACTTCGTTGCCACCAGATAACGACGTAAGGCGCGAATATGAGTTGGCAGGAGGAATCGAGGATTGGGAAGGGGTGCAGGTTGAAGATGTCGATCGTTACGGTTTCATTTCAGTTCAACAGCCGCAAGATTCGCGGCCGTCGTCGCCAACCGGAACCACCACGTCTGTCCATTTTTCAATGCACAAACAGCGAAACGTTCTTTTTCGGAAAGAAACGGCATCACGTTCGTTAAGAGTCAGGAGTGGCCCCAGTAGGAAGATGTCAACACGCTCCTTGAATACGCAGGCGTCGGAATTATCTACGGCGTCGCATCGTTCCGCTCTTTCGGCTACCTTCCGCCAAGCCACAAACTTATTGCCCCATAACAGGGACAGGAAATTGCTGGACGAAGCTGGGGATATCCTTGCAACGCACCCGGGCTTATCGCATATTACTGAGGACGGATCGGCCGAGAGGAAGTTAACCGAGTCGAAGCTGAAGGAGACGCAGCGCGCTGAGAAGTGGTTGAGGATGGCTACAGTAACTAAAGCAGGCGAGGACGGCCAAGGTATGGTGTTTGATTTTGATCTGAAGCACCCGAAGCTAGTCAAACGTGTATGGAAGGGTATCCCTGATTGTTGGCGAGCGGCGGCTTGGTATTCGTTCCTCTCTACCGCTGCCAAGGCTAGCGGCGAACCGTCTGCTACGGAGGAGGAAATCAAGGCTGAATACCATCGCCTCGCCGAGGAACCATCGCCTGACGACGGGCAAATCGATTTGGACGTGCCCAGGACAATTAATCAGCATATTATGTTCAGGCGGAGATATCGTGGTGGCCAGCGATTGCTTTTCCGAGTACTGCACGCCTTGTCCCTTTATTTTCCCGATACGGGCTACGTCCAGGGCATGGCTCCGCTGGCGGCAACTTTCCTGAGCTATTTTGACGAGGAGATGTGCTTCGTAATGCTGGTGCGACTATGGAAGTATCGTGGTCTCAATCGGATGTATGGTTCCGGATTCGTGGCGCTCATAGAGGCTCTAAAGGATTTCGAAAATGATTGGTTAGCTAGTAGAGACGTCGCTTCGAAACTTGTAGGTTCACACAATTGCTCCTATCTGACTTGATCTCGGCTAACATTTTACTAGACTGAGCTTTGTATTGACCCCACGGCGTACGCCACCAAGTGGTATCTGACCCTCTTCAACTTATCGATACCATTCCCTGTTCAGCTCCGCGTGTGGGATGCATTCATCCTACTCGGCTCTTCGCCAGAGCCGACAGATGGCACCACGTCGCCGAACAAGGCTGCTCCAGAACCGTCGTCTAAGGGACTTGAGATCCTTCACGCGACCAGTCTCGCTATTATTGACACGCTCCGGCCAACGCTGCTGGATTCCGACTTTGAAAACGCTATGAAGTCCCTTACTTCCTGGGTTCCTATTAAGGATGAGCAAGGATTTATGGACCTCGTTCAACTAGAGTATAGACGGCATGAGGGCAAACAGAAGGCCTAGGAGGCCGGATCGCCTCTCTGATGCATCACCTGACCAGGATTCGAAGTTCTTCACAGATCCTAAACCTACTTGCGGCACCACATGCCACTTTTTCTTAAACTCGCGCTGAGATGGGATGGGATTTTCCGGTGGGGAGAGAGGGATTCGGAGGGAATCCGTGATACCGGTCTGCAGGCCAACCGATACGTTGGCTATCTAATTTACAATAACCTACATCGCCTAGGCCGCGACAAGGGTCTGATTTGGCATCCGATTTCCTTTGTGCTTCGGAGGAGCGCTGGTTGTTTCGCCTTTGCCCGGGCTACGAGGCGGAAGCTCTGGAGACGCTGATGGATGGTTCTTCGCATTATACCCCCTACGCATTCGAATGGATTGTTCACGGACGGTGGAAGACCGGTTACTCGACCGGCTTATCGTTACTACTACCACATTACACTATACATATTTAATACGGAGCTTCACCGTGCGAACCTCGCCGAGGTCGTACTAACTATACCCCCCTACACGAGCGTCTAGTACTTGCTTGTTCTCGACTTTATATTATCCTACGATAGTATGAATTTGATATACCTAATTTACCTTTCCTCGATATTATTTGACTTTATTTAGTATGTGATATTTTTGACATAAGCACGACGTACGTATCATTAAGACGCGGTTTGCTATTGTAGTAGACGCATGAGTTTTGCGCTGGTAAGGCTGATAATCCTGGCTACGAGAACAGACGTGCTGTCTTCCCCAGTCGTTCTGGTGTAACCATAACCATCAGATCTGCAATGGGGTGAGTGGATGGTTACACATGTACATGGTATAAAGGATACGGGCTCAGCCTCGATGGGTGTGAAATGAAAAGATATCAGCTGGTCGCATTGGGTAAGAGTAAGAAAGGTACGTGTAACCTCTCTTGATTACTTTTAGGATTTGAACCTTTAACCTAGGCGTCTTTATTTCGATCTATCATCTCCTCCCAACCCCCTTTTGACTCACACACTGGCGATTATCTTGAGGGTGTCGTTTTACTCGTAAATCACCACCACCGCCAAAAAAAAAAAACCACAACATGGCGTCTCACACCAAAGAAGCCAAAAAAGACGACGGCCCGCCTCCATACTCTGAACATGGAACAGACGGCGCGGCATCACTACCACTAACTGCCACTGCCACTGCCACTGCGGAAGCGCCTCCCCCTCCCCCTTGCACACAACAACCTCCCCTCCCGCGCCAGTTCCCCCCCGCATTCAACATGTACATCGAAAGCCGCCACCGCTACCACATCGGCGTCCACCAGTCCACCCCGCTCTACGCCGTAACCCTCTCCCGCGCCTCCTTCTCGCACCCGGAGGTCGTCCTGCACAGCGGCCCCGGGCACCAGACCCCCGCGCTGGCGGTCGTAGCGCGTCCCTCCCGCAGCGGCGATCTCACGGTGACGCTGGCCGCCGCCGCCGCCGAGGAACGCGTCGAGACGCCGGCGTTTCTGGGCGGCGGGGAGACGTTTTCGTTTGGGGTGGAGGTCGGGGTGGGGGTAGGGGACGGGGGGGGAGAGAGGGAGAGGGAAAGGGAGAGGGAGAGGGAGATGTTTGAGTGGCGCAGGTCCAGGGGGGATGCGGTTGCGGCGTTGGGGGGGAGGGCGAGCGGGTGGAAGTTGGTGAGGATGAGGAGGGATGCGGCGAGCGGGTTGGGGGGAGGGGGACGGGGACGGGGACGGGGGCAGGGGCAGGCGGGTGTGTTTGGGAGGGGCGCGGCGGCGGCGGGAGATGGCAGGGAGGTGGTGGCGGTGTGGGCGTGGGCGAATATGAGTCTGACGAAGAAATTGCGGTTTCGGTTTCTGGGGACGGGGGCTAGTGGGGTGTTGGGGGAGCGGTGGGCGGTTATGGCTGTTGCGACTGCGTTGTGGGCTTTTGATAAGGAGAGGAGGGCTAGGGAGGAGTAGGGGTTGTTGGTGTTGGTGTCGGTGTCGGTGTTGGGGAGGGAATAGGAGTTGTGGTTTGGGAATTTGGTAGTTAGTATGCTATATGGCATAACTACCTAGGTAACTAACTATAGACTAATGTGGATTTACTGCCATGTAAAGTGTCTCGGCGTAAGGTAGATTCGTTCGTCACATTGTGATTATATAACGAATGCTGGAACCTATGTTCTGTCTATCCTTTGGGATCCATCACTCTTGTGATGTGATTGATCTAGACGGGAAGCCGCATAGCATATCGAGGTATCATCAACCGAAATCCAAGCTGACGAGACTGGTAGGCTCTTTTCGTGTCTCATTTAGCCATTTCTTGCTCTATTATGTACAGGCAATGCTTAACCATGCCGACACGTACAACGAGATTACCATTCAATAGACGTGTATATTATCAGAGCTAGGTAAGACAGATTTGAGGCAGCTATCCCTCGAGCACAGATAACAGGTAGGTAGCTATAAGACTGCATGGATCTAATTCTATCGTATGCCTAATCCGCCTCAGGGCAGATCCCACCAGCTCTCGTGCAGATCCCGCAAGTCAATCGTAGCCGGATCCCTAATATACGGCACGATATCCGCGGCCAGATCCTCCTCCTTCAGCGTCGACCCCACGCCGAAGTACCAAGCAAGCCGGTTCCCGCTCTCGGAGAGGTACTCGTACTCCCAGTCCTCCCACCGCGGCTCGCGGTATATGATCGACACCTGGGCGGCGCTGCCGGGCCACAGCCCGTGGATCCTGCTCCCCGGGCGGCCGCTGTTGTACCACGAGCTGCAGTTCTCCGACAGGACCGTCGTCGCGAAGAAGGCGTCCGAGTACTGGACGAAGTCGTCGGCGGCGCGCTTCGACGGCTGGATGGTCCGGATGCCCTCGCGCGCCACCTTGCGCAGCAGCTTCGCGTAGAAGGTCGCTTGCACCTCGACGCTGTGCGGCACCGTGCCCGACCGCCCCGACCCGTGCGGGCCCTGGATGAAGCCTAGGTTCGGGAATCCCGGCGTCGCCACGCCGAGGTACGTGTACGGGAACCCGTATTCGCCGTCTTGCCCCCACAGCTTCGAGAGGTCTTTGCCGTGGGCCCAGATGCTGAAGGGCGGCACCATGTCCCTGTTTGCGCCTGTGGCGCAGAATATCGCGTCGACTTCGCGGTGGACGCCGTCGGTTGTCTCGATGCCGGTTTCTGTGAAGCGCTTTATTGGTGTCTGGACGTAGTCCACGTTGTCTTCTGTGATGGCCTCGAAGTAGTTGGGTCCGGGAGTGAGTCGTCGGCAGTGAGGCGAGAAGTCGGGAATGATTCTATCGATGAGTTCGGGCTTCCTGGCCACTCGTTTCCTCATAAGCTCGGCGAATTCCTCGCGGGACTTTTCGTTAAGTTCGGATCCCTTGAGCCAGCTCGAGAATCCCCTCCAGTACTTGGACTCTAGCTCCTTTCTCCATTTGACGTATTCGTTAGGATCTTTAAACGACTCTCGGAGCTCAGGGGATATAGGGATAGGTTCGATGGAAGTATCATCGCCTGCGAATGATGCTGTAACCCATGTCTTATTTCGAGCATAGTGGTCTAAGTGCTTGACATGCTTCTGAATATTGGCGGTAAGCTGTATGCCGCTTGCTCCGTTGCCGATGACTGCAACTCGTTTCCCTGCAGGGTCGAAATTGGGATCCCAGTTGGAGGCATGCCGAAGAAGTCCTTTGAAGTCCTTTATCCCAGGGTAATCAGGCAGCTTCCAGGCGTTGAAGCGGCCGATGGCAGTCAGCACGAAGTCGAACTCCTCGCTGGACGTCTCTCCCGTGCTGAGATTATGCACCTTCACGTTCCATACGGATTTCTTCTCGTCCCAGCTCAGCTCTTCGACCCTTTGGGAGAACTTCAGATACTGGTACACATCGTACTTCCGCGCCAGCCCTTGCCAGTACTCCCTGATCTCGCGGCCCTGCGCGAACTGCTCTGACCAGTTGATGTTTGGAGCAAAGCTGGTCTGGTAGACGTGCGCCGGAACGTCACATCTGACACCTGGGTAGATGTTTTCAAACCACGTGCCGCCCTGTAGATAATTAGTGGAATTGCATATATTTTAAGTATTAATGGTGTTGCTCACCACGTCGGCATTTTTCTCGAATATAGTCAATTTCAAGTTAGGAACCTTTGGAGGAAGAATTATGCCCGCCAGCACGCCTGAAATTCCTGCACCGACGACAGCAACTCTTAGTTGCCTCGGTTCATCGATGTGGCGCTGCTCAAGCTTGAGTGTTGGTGTGGGATAACTGCCAAACTTTGGTTCCTTGAGCAGTGGCTCGATCTTTTCTTTCACGCTCTCAATTATAGGCACTTTCACGCCATTGGTTGGATTTTCTGAGCTGCTTTGCTCTGATGAGGATGGTTTTGATCCATTGGTATCGACAGCTTGCTCCAAGCCTTCGGTAGTCATATTGGCAAGTAATCGGACCGCACTTATACAGCGGAAGCAACAAAAGTCTGACCGGTCGAGTGTCAATGTCTTGGGTAGGTTAGGTAGGTACTTATTCCACTCGTAACCGGCCAGAACCGGCCAGGACCGACGGCTTATATCTATGAGACTGAAGTTATCTTGAAACGCGTTATCAATAGACTAAATGTGTGTAGCCGACCTACCACGTCTTCTGTAGGCGAAGCACGCAATAGCCCCCGCGTCTTTGCACCTCCGCGATAGGACGTCCGAGTAGCAATCATGGTTGCGGCTAGAATTCTAAGCCACTTTTATCGTCACATCAATATTGGTCAAATGCCGGAATAGGATATCTGACGTATGGCTCATTTATAATGTTGTGAATATAATCTAAATTACGACCTTGTTCTCGTTCCTTTTCTGAATACAATATCTAAAGAACATTTCCTCAGAATTTACAATAGTTGAACCCAGTTGAAAATGGCTTCTTCAGAGGGTAAGAAGCAGATTCTGCTGAATGCATTTGATATGTCAACCATTGGCCATCTTTCACCGGGCCAATGGAAAGTGAGTTTCCATATATTTACGCCGAGGTATATAGCTAAACAGTACATCAGAATCCCGCTGATAAGTCAGCTACGAAACGCAATCTTGACTATTGGTTAGAGTTGGCAAAACTACTAGATAGAGGAGGGTTTAATGCCTTGTTCCTCGCAGATACGTATGGAGGCTACGACACCTACGAGGGAAGCCTCGACAATTGTATCAGAAGAGCCGCACAATGGCCCGTGACGGATCCAACCATCGTAGGTCTCTCAGTATTGAAGCATAGTTGAACATAAAGAGGCTAAAACTTATATTGTTGGAATATAGCCAATTGCAGCAATGGCTGCCGTAACGAAGAATCTCTCCTTCGCCATTACTGCTTCAACCTCGTTTGAGCCCCCTTTTCTATTAGCAAAGCGCTTTTCTACGTTAGACCACTTTACCGGGGGACGATTTGGTTGGAATATCGTCACTTCCTGGAAAAAGGCGGCCTTCAAAGCTATTGGCCTCGATACCCCTATTGACCATGATGAGCGGTATCTCCAAGCTGACGAGTACTTGAAGGTACTCTACAAGTATGTTGTTGCAATTGGTATTTCAGTGACGCAGTGAAGCTCAAAGGCGTATACAGGCTCTGGGAGGGATCGTGGGCAGACGATGCAATCTCCCCCGATCCAGAAAACGACACGTATGCGGACCCGGACAAGATTCGCACGATCAACCACAAAGGGAAGTACTTCACTCTAAACACAAAGCACATCGTCGACCCGTCTCCGCAGAGAACCCCGTTTCTATTCCAAGCCGGGACTTCTGCCGCCGGCTCCGAGTTCGCCGCGACGCACGCGGAAGCCATCTTCGTCTCCTCGCACTCCGCGTCCGTCCTCCGGCCCAAGATCGCCAAGATCAGGGAACTAGCCGCTTCCAAGGGTCGGGATCCGCGCTCGCTCAAGTTCTTCGCGACTTACACCCCCGTCGTCGCGCCCACCGACGAGGAGGCGCGCGCCAAGTACGAAGACCTGCTGCAATACGGCTCGGTCGTCGGCGGCCTCGTCCTGGTCAGCGGCTGGACCGGAATCGACCTGTCCAAGATCCCGCTGGACCAGGAGATCACCGCGGCAGACTCGCTGGAGGCCCACAAAGTGCGCAGTATCTTGGACGCCTTCACTACTACGAGCAAAGACATCCCGAAGTGGACGCCCCGCGTCATAGCCCAGAAAGCGTCGATAGGTGGTCTTGGCCCCGTAGGCATCGGATCTCCTCAAACCGTGGCGGACGACCTGGAGCGCTGGATAGAAGAAGGGGACTTGGATGGGTTCAACATCGGTTACGTGACCACTCCTGGGTCGTTTGAGGATGTAGTCGATCTTTTGATTCCGGAGCTAAGGCGACGTGGGATTTATCCCGATCCCCTGCCCGAAGGAGAGACTCTGACTGCTCGGGAGAGGGTTTACGGGAAGGGTCAAAGGGGGCTTAGGGAGGACCATGTCGGGTCTAAGTATAAGTACGAGAGATACCAAGAAGAGCCACCGTATCAAGAGACAGAACCGGCTAAGGAATGAGGTGACTGAGCATGCTTGTCGTATCTCTCTCAACTGAGCTATTACGATATCTTGTAGTACGAAATAATAGTATTTTCTATTAGTTAAGATGTATCTATCTAGGTTAACTTAGTGATGTAGTATAACCCACCCTATTAATTCTAGTTAGGTTAGGTACCCAAGGTTAGAGATCTCCCACGGCGAGGTAAAAGCACGATAATTATCCCCGTTTTTAACAATCTGATATTGCCCCGGTGTGCTACTCCGCCAGACCGACCTATACAATTAGCCCAAGCCCAACAAGTCTCTTCCCCGCCTTGCTTTGGCGTCTCCTTCACCGGCGCGCAATACGTAGATATGGCGCGTAACCCTGTATTAGTCGGACAACCCCGCCTAGGCTCTATTGCGTGATCGAACCCGTCGTGTTGCGTGATCGCAGCCAAGCGCATCGGAACGCTATGGTATGTGCGCACCCGGCATTGACGTGATATCGCGTATTGGCTAGTGGCGGGCTACTCCGCCGGCCCTCGGAGACCGGATGGGCTGGTCTCGATATAGCCGTATATCAGGTAGCCTGTAGGTATGTTAAGAAATAGATCCGGGGCCATTCATTATTGATGAATCAACCATTACGTGTTGAATTAGTAAGGCAGACAGGCAGACAGGCACATACAAGATGAGCAGCGACGCAAAGCCGAAGAAGAGCCTCGTGCTCAACGCCTTCGTCATGATGGGTAAGTCCGGTTCTGATTTCGATTCCGATTCGTCGTGGGATTTCGTTCGCCGGCTTACACCACCACCTCTTAGCGAGCGGGCATCAATCGCCGGGTCTGTGGAGGCATCCGGACGACGAGTCGTGGCGCTTCAATGAAGTATCCCACTGGGTTGAACTGGCGAAGCTGCTTGAGAAGGGGAAATTCCACGGCATCTTCATTGCCGACGTCCTTGGTACGAACGATATTGCCTTCAGCCGATGCGGGCTAGACAGCTACTGATTCCAACGACAGGGGGGTACGATGTATATAGGGATTCCTTAGATCCCGCAAAGATATCCGGAGCTCAATGGCCGACTAACGAGCCGTTCTCTGTGATTTCCGCCATGGCGGCGGCGACCGAGAGTATCGGGTTTGGCGTCACGGCTTCGACTACGTACGAACAACCGTATCATTTCGCTAGACGCTTGTCGACGGTTGATCATTTATCCAAGGGGCGGTATGTTTATCATCTTCAAGCGATATATTTATAATGCTAACTGCGTGTAGGATAGGTTGGAACGTCAGTTAATTAACCCCCCCCCCCCCCTGGAACATGAAATTTATTTGCATGTCAAGCTGAATAGGGGCATAGATTGTAACAAGCTACCTTGACTCGGCTGCGAAGAACTTGGGCTTTACAGAGCAGCCAAAAGTAAGTCCACACATCTTCTGCGTAAAGAAACAACATGCTCATAACATCTGTAATAGCATGACGATCGTTACGCGCAGGCAGAGGAATACCTCAAGGTCATCTACAAGCTCTTAGAGTCGTCATGGCGGGACGACGCAGTGAAACTAGATCGCGAATCGGGCATCTACACCCAACCAGATCTAGTGCGGCCCATAAACCACCAAGGCAAGTTCTTCACCGTCCCCGGCCCGCACATCTGCCAGCCGAGCCCGCAGAGAACGCCGCTGCTCCTCCAAGCAGGCACGTCTCGCGCCGGAAAGCAGTTCGCGGCCCAACACGCCGAGGCCATATTCGTATCGGCCCACGCCCCGGAAGTATGCGCGAAGAGCATAGCCGAAGTGCGGGAGCTCGCTAAGACCGAACACGGGCGAGACCCGGCCAACATCAAGGTCTTAGCGCTGGTGACGGCGATCCTAGGGCGCACCGAAGAAGAGGCCCAGGCAAAGCTAGCCGACTACCGGAAATACGCCTCGCACGAAGGAGCTCTTGCTCTGTTCGGCGGCTGGACCGGCATCGACTTCGACAAGTACGGGGACGAAGAAGAACTAAGACACGTCGAGAGCAACGCAGTGCGGTAGGCGCACCAATACACCACCCCCTTCCCCTCCTCCTCCTCCTCCCCCTACCCCTTTTCACCTTCGTTCTAACCCACTCTAGATCTACCGTCGAAGGCTTTGCCAGATTCTCGCCCAAAACCGCAAAGTGGACCAAGCACACGATAGCAGAGCACGTCGCCATCGGCGGCAACGGGCCCCTATTCGTCGGCACGCCCTCGCAGGTAGCAGACGGGCTCGAGACCTGGGTCGACGAAGCCGACGTTGACGGGTTCAATTTCGTAAGCAAACCCCCTAAGCTACCTAGGTACCTAGGTAGATACGACAACTACGGTACGGTACGGTACGGTACGGTACGGTACGGTACGGTACGGTACAGCTCTCGCTGACGACGTGAACTCTAGGCATATGCGCTCTTCCCCCAGTCCTTCAAGGATATCGTCGAGCTTCTACTCCCGGAGCTTCGGAGCCGGGGCTTGTTTTGGCACGACTACGCGGTCCCTGGAGGGACGTACAGGGAGAACTTCTATCAGAAGCCGGGGCAGACTGGCCCGCTTGATGAGCACATTGCTTCCTCGTACAGGTGGAAGGCGGGTGTTCGGTCAGAGCAGCATGTCATTCAAGATTGAGTCGCGGAGGCTTGTAGGCATTGATTCGTAGGTCTACGATGTCGATATGACGAGGCTATGCAAATTGGGACCACTGTCTCGCTACGAGGAAACTAAAGAACTAATGCCATGTATTTCTTTGCCAAGACTATTATTCACATGGTAGTTAGCATGAGATTTAACGTCTATGTTGACATCAAGAACCTGTAACATGCTTCATCTATACGCTTCCGGTAGTAATATCATATGATTCAAGCAGCAAGCCCTACGGCATAATAAATTCGCGAGGCCTCACCCAAGTCCCATAGCGATGTCAGTGCTAAAGGTGACTCTTATGCACTCCAGCGTTTCGAGGCGTAGACCAGCACAGCTGGTCCCCAAACCCGCACCGACGTTTACAACCTACTGGGAACTGCATCCGACCAAGAAGGAGTAATACCAAGGCTAAAGCCAAAGCCACAAGATAATAACCTATATGACATGAGTCAATAATACCAGCCTCCCAAAAGACAACTCATCAACATACCACAAGCCCAAAACAAAACATACCGACATCTCCTCGCCTTTCATGACCCTATTCAGACCAAATTACGACACCGTCGTCCAGAAGGATCCTAATGACGTTGTCCGAGACGCCTCGCGGTGGCACAAGTAGGCTTTAGGATTCCGATTCCGATTCCTACTCCTACGCCAACCCAACCGTCCTCGCATAAACACATGGTCTTCTCGAGACGAATCCATCCCTCCCGCTCCCGCAAGCAGGAATAAAATTAATTTCTCTTACATGCATACCCGCCCGCGCTGTTGGATCGTCCAAAAATGGCATGACCCTGCCCTACTCAGCGTGTCCCGATCCGGAACACATAACCCCTCCCGAATAGGCAGGAATGTGCAGAGATCGCCTAGCTTAGCTGAGCTGAGCGATCCAGCCGGCGGGCGGAGCTCTCCCGGAGATAGCTGGTGCACACCTATATACATACACCAATACTCTGATATGATGTCGCTCGTAGGGTGCGTGCGGAACAGGCCTCCCATCTCTCCATCCACCTACCCATCCGACTGTCGTTTCGTCACAGCCTTGGTGGTGGTGGTGGTGGTGTTGGTGGCGGCGGGATGGACGAAGAGAGGGAGACTGGAGGAGTTATCATACAACGCCTACATACTCGTCGGGCGACAGCAGCGTTGCGTTGCGTCGTTTCGCATGTGACGTGCAGCCAGCCACCAGATCATCCATCCGACTGCCTCTATCTACCCCATAGCAATGGCCCACGGGCCTCTCTTACGACCAAGGAAAAAGGAAAAAAGAAGAAGAGACGAAATCAAGCTTTGCTGAGTCTCTTCGCGAGAAAAACTGGTTATTGGCAGGGCAATACCGCGGCGCATTATCGGCTGAGGTCATTCCCGAACCACTCGCGGGTCCCGCATCGTCTTATTCGCGCACGAGCTTGACGATCAGCTGGGCTCCGTAACTCGTAGCGTACCTAATCTCATGTGTGTATAGATGTCGATCTGTTTTGTTTATTTACGTACTCAGTTAGTCAGTCAGCCAGTCAGTTAGTCTATCAGCCCACATCGCCTCGGGTCGAGGACAGCCGAGCTTGTATAGCTAACCTACCTACATAGCTTTCCATCATTTCATCCTCCTCCCCTCAACGCCGCCGGAGGTGGGCAAGCGGACAGACGCCCAGATAGACCGTAAAAGTACCGTCGCATCGGGCGCCATGCACGCGGTGTTTCATAGATATTAATCTGACATAGTATTAAGCCGCGAAAAGCTTGGCCTCCATGTTTCGCATCCAGGTTTTTTTTCTTTCCTTCTGCTCCCCCTAATCTGCCGCGGAGCACCGTACCGTCAAATGGGAACATGAACGATGCTAGCTTGCTTGCTAGTTACCCAGGTAGGTATCTACCTACCTGCCCACATGGAACGAGCGAAAAATGCAGTCAGCGTCGCAGCGCAGATGCTTGCTCTGCGCATCTGGGACACTGTTGCGTGGGTTCTTGGTTTTTGCTAGCGTTCGTACTTACATACATGTATGTATATGTATAATACGTATGTAGATATGTAGGTAGGTATGTAGGTATGTAGGGGTATATAGATATATACCTAGGTACATTGATTGCTAGTATACATGGAAGTTATGTAGGTGTGTAAGGATATATAGGAGGTAGGTAAGAAAGGGAAAGAGGAGGCAGGCCGCCTATACGGCCGCGTCGCGTCTAGCTCGGGCGGAGGATGGCCGGCCAACCACCGTGAAGCGTTCGAACGCTGGCGAGTAGAGGCGCCCACCTACGTACATTAGGTGCTGTTATTACTTGACCTACACGCGGGAAACTAAGGAAGCCGACTGTGCCGCGAGTTCGAACTTCTTCGGTGAAAGTTGTGGTCGCGAGCTGTTCTACCAAAGTTTGGGAAAGCTAAGCTGGGCCCTCTCCACTTCGCCGCAGTGCATAATACATACCTACCTAATGTATGCGTCAAGCAGAAGAGGAAATACTACCTTGGTCTGTGTCTGGGTATTGCACCTCGCGAGTCGATACACACACACATACATATACATATACATACACGTACATAGTACATACATATATATCTAGATAGGCTAAGATCGCACGCGAGATTTGGGCAACTCTGCTGACGAGTCGTATCGTTTCCATCCTAGCCAAGTAAGACCTCTGCCTAATTAGAGGCAGAAGATGCAGTTTCTGTTTTCTGTTAGTGAAAGAAAGTAGCCAGTCGGTTTGGGACCAAAGGCAGTCAGCACAGCTGTCCCCGAAGGGGGTCTAGATCAGCGACATGCCACCCCAAATTCCCTTAGCAGCATGCCTTCATGGCATAGCGCTACTGCAAGTCATCATGCATTCCTATAGTTAATTATGCTATAGTAGTAGCGGCGGCGGCGGCGGCGGTAGCGGCTATATTATTGGGAGGAGGCGACGTCAATAAACAAACAACGACAAACAACAACAAACGACCGACCTCTGCAGATAGGTATGCATATAGGCACTTAATTCAAGTAAGTGTGCATGTAGTCGGATGTGTAGTCGGAGGATTCGCAAGATTTGGAATATCTCCAATCATGATGTAGCTAGAACCCCCCTCTGCTTTGGGGGGACTTCCCACACAGATGGTCCATCTACCCATTATATGAGTCAGTCGATCCCAGATACGGTAGCACTGCCGGGTCATGGGTATACTGGTGGCTACCTAACCTAGACCTAGGAAAGCTTCCCATTTGGCGAGATAGGCAATTGACGCATCTCAGTGCAGATGTAATGGATGGGGGGGGTCAACCATCGGCACTATGAATGTCGTGCTCTATTCCTCTTCGACCAAGACATGCCCTCTTCAACCCTAAAGAGGTTAAATGACTAGGGGTGGCCACGAAAAATGTCTGATGCTATCAAGTAATGTTAGTTTATCTATCTTGATATAGACCACACTGCTGTCGGCGTGCTAGTAAGCGAAGCGGAAGCCATCTCATGCCTGACTGACTCACTAACTGGGTTTAAGAACTTACGACTTCGCGATCGACAATAGATCTACCTCATCTAGTCTTCTCCATCTTGCCTTTACCCTTCCGTCAAGTCCCTAACCTAGACCATACATAGCTTTCTACCTTACCCCATACAACAACAGTCCACGTGAGCACAGAGACGATAACTGCAGCATGGGGGATAAGATGGGTGCTACTCCGTTTCCACAGTACTTCCCGCGCTTTTCTCACCGCACGCGCTAATAATAGCCAGCAACCCTGAGCAGCACTCAAACCGAGCAGAGTATCGTCCGAACGAGGGTTATTTTCAGCCGTAATATTGCCTGTTTCTGTTCTCGGGACGACGTTGCGTAGCTGCGTCGTCAGCAGTACGATGAGAACATAATTCAATCCCGGACAGACAAAGCAACCCCCCTTTCTATCCTTCCCCCACGGGGGATGAGGGGGGGGGGAGAGAAGGAGACGAACGAGGGCGTTTAGATGTCACGTCGTTGCATCGCTTGATCAGGCCAGCGGCTGGAGCGCGTGTGGGCGCGAATCACACGCTGGCCAACGACTTAGCCGTCTGGCGCGCGGGTATTTTTCCCAAGTCAGCCCTTTCCTTTCCTTTCCTTTGTCCCGTCGACCCTCTCTCTGCTCTGATCTGCTCCCCTGGCTAGGTTAGGTACCTACTCGCATATGATATCCTCTTGCACTGCGCAGTGGAAATTGGGAATACATATCTCATTAGGTTAGGTACATTAGATAGATAGGTAGGTAGGTAAGAAGTAAGTAAGTACATAGGTAGGTATGGACTGCGCACGGTGACGATACATACCTAGGTAGCTGCGCTAGGTCATACACCTAGGCGGCCGTGTATCGCGCCTCCCTGTCCTGCCCTGCCCAAGTTCGGGCAAGCAAGAGCACCTTCTCATTCTTGGCCCCGAGGTCACTCGACACCCAAACCCAAAGCCCAATTCTGAAAGTGCAACTCCAAGCGAAGCTAGCTACCTAGCTAAACTAAAGATCGCTCTCTCCTTCTACATTACCGGCTACCCTAAGCCATCCACTTATTCATTCCCTGCCGTGCGACACGACGGACAAAACGCCCTAAATTAAACTCATTACTAGCTACCTAGGTATGTAGGTAGCTAGCTATGTACTACCGCTGCTAACTGCCCATCCCGACGGCGGCGGTAGCAGCAGCGAAGCTGTCGTGCCGACATTCTCGAGCCCTTGCCCGTGTCACCGTCCACCGCCCCTCGACGAATCATCAATTCTCCGATGCCCTTTGCGGGACTGATTGGACGGAACCCCCCGTGGGCCGTCGCAGTGCCTAGCTACTTAATAAATATAAAATAAATTATTAGGTAAATTGGGTACGTCAGGGTAGGTACCTAGGTAGCTTACCTACCTACCTACATACCTACCTACCTCCTATACCGCAGGGCGGCCAAATACGAACGCCCTGGGCGTAATAGCGGAAAATAACTGGTACCTACATGTATTGGCCTACCTACCTATGCATATATGTAGGTAGGTATGTATGTATATATTAAAACGCGCGTAACTGCCTAATCTAACCTAACCTAACCTGGTAGAACTTCCCCCTTCTCTGGCGTCTCTGCATGAGGCTTCAACGGGTCGTAATATTGCATGCCTAACCCCTAGCTACGCCGAGCTGACCGTTCTCTTCTCGGGAAGAAAAAAAGAAAAGAAAAGAAAGAGCTCCTCAGGTAATACCGAAGAAGGCAGTGTAACGAGTCTACGGCGGGAGATGAGACGATCGTTATGTTATGTTATAATGCTTGGGAATTCATGTGTTTATATAGGTACCTATATTTTACAGTATTGCATGGGACCTATAAAAAAGAACAACCAACATAAAAATATACCTAAATATAAAACTCCTAACCTAGTCTTCTTATTTGTCTCCGAAACTCTAGACGCCTTATCCCCCTTTTCACATGGTATCTATTGTATTGTACAGGGCTTCATGCGTATTCCCCTAAATGACGATGGTGACGATGACGATGACGATGACGATGACGATGTTGATGATAATGATAATGATAATGATAATGATGACAGAAAAATTGGTTGTGTTTGTCCGGCGTGCCCAGAAACTCCAGGTCCTCTTTTTCCCGAGCCTATTTCTCCATACCGTAGAAATAAATGCTTTTTTTAAAACCCGTCTTCTTCATGACCCTCGCCCGCCCCCCTTTCCTAAATGTAAATGTGTATGCAGGTGGATGGTTTAGTACAGGTGATGAGAGCTATTAGTTACAGTGAAATTCCAGATGAAAAATCGTAGTCGAACCACATCCTATCCTAGATTGTGCTGTGCTGTGCTGTGCTGTGTTTGTTGACTGCTTAGAATTCGCGTGGCGCGCTCGTAATATCGTTTTTCGTCCCAACCGAGGCTTAGATGGCTATTTTGGGGGAGAAGCAAATCACCCCCCTCTTGCTGGTTAAATCATAGCGCACTTAAAAAATGTCCCGTGATGATCTTGAGCAACAAATCGATATTGTCGTGAGAGTAGGGCCTCACACTTCCAGAGATTGGTAAACAAAAAAAAAAAAATTTGTTGTCCTCAGAACCCGCCCCAGAGGCTGAAATATGGACGGACTTCCAATAACCCATAACACGTATGTCCTTAAAAATCATTTTTGTCCTTAATCATTTTCTCGTCCGGGTCCTCCTGATCCTATCCTTGTCGCTCCACCACGCGACCTTTCATCCGACGTCGCCGGGGAATTTCGTCGTTCGTGCTCGCTCTGCTGCGCTCTCATTTCCGACGCGTATCGTGGCGAAGGCTGGTCTGCTAATAATGACGAGACCGTATGTGCGCCGCTCCTAGATTGTTGTGACGGTTCGCCTAACCCGCTTTCCCTTGACGGGCCAAGGCCAGGTGAAAGTCCCTGGTGCGGACCAAATTGTTCAAGTCGACCGCGCCCCGCAGACCGGTAAGACGAGACGTCGCTTCTCTGTCGCGAATGACCTCGCCGTCGACCGGGAGGCGGATTTGATAATGTCGAAGATCCGTGCTGCCCGAAAGGCGGAGATCTAAATCGCGTTTGGCTCGGCGGAGGCGGCGCTTGCTGGGGACCCGTCGCTTTTCGTTTCTTAGGCGATTCTACCAATTGCCAAGAGGCAACATTAGCCAGACATATTTCTACCTGCTCGTTTTAGACTTTGACAAACCAGAAGGCGTTCCTGGCTGATTAGAGCCTCCTTGAGTGGCCGGGGGTTGCCAATGGTGAAAATATATCGACGGCGACTGGGTATCTTGCTGCGGTTGCTGTTGCTGCTGCTGCTGCTGCTGTGCGAGCACATGTGCCGGGTGAGGCATCCCGGGCGGTCCAGCAGCCCCTTCTCCTGTACTTAGTCGCGGAAGAGCTGAACTCCCCAAGGGTCTTCCTACACCTCCGCCTATACTTAACGTGTGCGCTCTATGTCTTGGTGAGCTAGGCCCTTGGTAGGGCATAAAGCTTGCTTGAGCACCTGGCGCCGATCCTGGTGTCGACGGGACACCATACTGCTGCCCCCCGTACTGCTGGGACTCTCTTCGAGCCTCCGGTGATAAAGCCCCCTGGGCTGGCATGATCTGCGCTGCGTGCGCCTGCTGCGGCATCAAATACTGTTGCGCCCATTCGAGGGCCACCTGCGGTAGCGTTCCGCCGCTCATTCCTGCGAAAACGACAGGCACCATCGGTGGTGGTATACCCCGATCTAAAGACGTTCGGAGCATGTCGTACTCCAGTTTTCTCTGTTCCAAACGTAACGTTTCCTGCCGCGTCTTTTCTTCTTCCTGTTTCCTCTTTTCCTCTTCAGTTTTGGCCGCCAACCAGTTTCTCATTGCGTCTTCAGAGCCCTGATGTTGAGGAGGGGGCGCTGGTAACGAACCAAGCGTCTGACTATGCGGAGAAGGAGCTGGCGCTCCCTGAGAATGTAAAGGCGGTCCCGGAGCTGGTGGGTGAGGTGGACCAGGAGCCTGTGGCGGCGGCGGTTGAGCTAGTGTCATGGCTGCCGGGAGAGGCAGGCCACGATGAGGTGCTGACATGGGCTTGGTAGATGGGCTCTGATTCTGTGGGAGAGCTACAAAAGTCTTCTGCAAAGAGTCCTGAACACTCAAGGGGGGCGAGGATCGAGGCGGCGTCGGTAGATCATGGACAGGCCGGTATCCGTGTTGAACTGGCTGCTTGGCTGTGAGCATCATCTCGATAGAAGACATGAATAGGAACTAGGCGGCAGCGTGGGAACGCATGCTAAGGGCTAAGGGTTAGAAAGAAGCAAGGTGGCAGACGGTAGTGGCAGTGGCAGTGGCAGTGGCAGTGGTGATGATGATGGGTGGTGGTAGTGGTGGTGGTTGTGTATACGGAACAAGAGGTGGTGAATAACCTTTGCATAAGAAAGTTGGATGGGACGGCCAACTTAGTAGAGAGGGGACAGGATACGATCGGGGTTTGTGGAACTGTTGGATCCCAAAGCCCAGCCTCATTTGAAGGTCGATGCCAAACACATGGGTAGTAATTCCAAAAGGATCAACTAGGGGGAACTGTAGTAGTTGTTGCGTGGTATTTTGGGCGTAGTAACTGGACATGCGCCGACACAGCAGCCGTCGAAGGACCCTAGCCGTCTATGGGAGGATCGATGCCCAAAGGCAGCTCTAGGTGTCGGGAAGCACCAAGTAGGTAGATCTTGGAACGGGACGATATTGTGAGCTGATAGACTACCTGTTTCTACCACTTGTAGCCGATTTAGGCAATGCCCGAAGCGGAAAGTAGACGTCGTTCTGGGTGTGGAGTAAAACGAGGGCCTGGCTTATCTGAAAGTAATATGCGTACGCACGTATCTAGAAGATTTCATACAAGAAGCTTGTAGAAGACCGGATAGGAAGGAATGAGACTATTTGGGGATAATGAATTTAGAAAGCTGAGCCGAACAGGATAGCTCAGTTGGCCGATTTACGTAAAGCTAGTAGCAATAACCGTCCGAATCAGCAAAAGGAAGTACTCGCTGTCAAAGAGAGTGTGGTCCAGGACATGTTAGGATGGGGTTAAGGAAGCGTTGGTAACAAAGTTAAGAGGTAGTTAAGAGATCAAGTTTGCTAGTTTCGAGAATATAATAATAAACCGAAGTAGAAGAGAAAGCTGACTAGCAAATAACCTCGAGAAGAACTAGAGTGTCTGGCTACGGGATGTTAGCTCAAAGTAGAAGTTCAAGAGTGGCTGAAGAGTTAACGAAGCGTGCCCGGGGGTAGACGAGGAGGGGAGGGGGAAGCTTTCTTTTCACACCACCGTAGTGACGAGGCTGATCGAGCTGCTAAGTACAGATTCAAAATCAACCTGGCCTGTCCTTGCTCTCAGTTAAAAAAAAAATTCTTCTTTTCCTCTTTCCTTTCCAGGCTTCCAGGGCTAACAGGCCCTTGTCTTTGACGGTAGGGCAGGGTTACTGGTCCGACTTTGGGACGGGAGTGTTTATAGGGCTAGTGAGGTATCTTTTGGCAGCAGGACCTCGTTTATAATACATTGTAAATACGTAGTAGCAGAGACTTGACCTACCCCGTTTCGAACTCGAGTATGGAAGGAAGACACAAACCGGGGGTGAAAGAGTTACCATGCAGGGTCGATCCTCGACGTCGGAAAAAAGAATGTGAAGAGGAGGATGCAAGAGTGACGAACGAATCAACGAGGGGTGGGGGTGTGCAAGTATTAGCAAAGCGGCTACCTAGCATGAGCCAGCTTGCCTTAAGTAAGTATGGTGCTTTGCTTGCTTGACTAAGTAACAGTGTGAGAGAGAAAGTAGAAAAGACAGAATGTGGATGGATTGAAGAGTGGAGTCTAAGAGCAAGACTGCACGGCGCATATGTGGGCAGATGGGACGAAAACTAATAAACAGACGCTTTTCTGCTGTAAGACGTGTCAGGAAGAGTTCGAGACTGGGGATAGGACGGTGCAAGAGAATTCTCGCGAGAAGATCTAGAACCCGGAAGATCTTTTTTTTTTTTTTTTTTTTTTTTTTTTTTTTTTTTGTTTTTTTTTTTTTTTTTTTTTTTTTTTTTTTTTTTTTTTTTTCTTTTTTTTTTTTTTTTTTTTTTTTTTTTTTTTTTTTTTTTCGGAAAGGCCGTATATCAGCGCTAACCGTTTCTTGTAAATCCTGTGCCATCTGAAGTTACAATCGGTCGGTCGGTCGGTGTTGGGTTTGGACCCTTGGGAAATCCTTTACCGTTTCGTTTGTTAGCTCGTTCAATTATTATAACCATCTTCCTCTTCGTTCGCCATGAGCACCGAGCCGCTTCTCGCTGAGTCGCGTCGAGTTCAGAGGTCGTCTTCATCTTCAGATATGGGCTTCGAAAATGGAATTGTGTACGAGGATGTCCTCGATACATACCGCGATGACCACGATGCAGACTTGGTCACTGCTACCGAGGCCCGCTCGCTGTCGCGTGGTCTTGGTCAACGACATCTTTCCATGATAGCTATCGCCGGCGCTATTGGCACCGGACTCTTCTTGGGGCTCGGAGGTGCTATACAGACTGCTGGCCCGCTCGGAGCTCTGCTGGGTTACGCTATCGTCGGACTTATCGTCTGCGCTGTGACTTTTGCACTGGGCGAGGTGGCTGCCCTCCTGCCTGTGACGGGTTCCTTCGTACGACATGCCGAATTCCTTGTAGATCCGGCACTCGGGTTTGCCGTGGGTTGGAACTTGGTATACGGCGCAGCGCTGTCGATTCCGAGCGAGCTTACAGCCATCTGTGTACTGTTCACCTTCTGGACCGAGGACATACACCCAGCGGTCTACATCATGAGCTTCATCGTGCTAACCTTCGGCGTGGGCATCTCCTTCGTACGCGTCTTCGGCGAGGTCGAGTTCGTGTTCGCCCTGCTCAAGGTCCTGCTCATCGTCTTCCTCATCATTTTCGACATCATCGTTGCTGCCGGTGGTATCCCCGGAATCCCAGCTACCGGCTTTAAGTACTGGCACAACCCTGGCCCGTTCGTTGAATATATCGCCTCCGGAAACCTGGGTCGTTTTCTGGGGTTTTGGAGCGTTCTAGCCAGCGCCGTTTTCTCCTTCGCAGGCGTCGAGTCCATTGCTATGCCTGCGGCTGAATTAAGGAACCCGGCGAGAGCTATCCCGCGCGCCTGCAAGGTATTTTAGATTATTAAAAGTAGAGCCAACATAGCAGCTAATTGTTTGTGCGTGTAGCGTGTGTTCATCCGTGTGCTGCTATTCTATATGTTGGCCATCTTTGTAGTTGGTTTACTTGTAGCCAGCGATGATGAGCGACTCAGCGATTCCCCAGGGACCGCCGCTCAGAGCCCGTTCGTTATTGCAGTTTCAGCCGCCGGCATCAGCGCCATTCCCAGTGTCGTCAACGCCATAGTTATTACGTCAGCCTGGTCGTCCTCAAACCAGACCCTACTATCCGGCACGCGTGTGCTGTACGCTTTAGCTCTGAAGGGACAGGCTCCTCGCGTGTTCCTCCGCACGACATCCTGGGGTACCCCTTATGTCTGCGTGATGTTCTACACCGCGTTCATGTTTCTCAGCTTCCTGAGCCTGGACTCGAGCGCGCTGACCGTGTTCTGGTACCTCATCGACCTGACGGCAGCCAGCATTCTAGTGTCGTGGATCACCATCTTGATCAACCATATCCGGCTTAAATTAGCTATGGCGAAGCAAGGTATCCCGGTTTCGCGGCTGCCGTGGCATAACTGGTGGTCTTGTGAGTTTTATGTATTTGAGGATAGTAAATGAGTAATATGCTGACTACCCGTATAGATTACACCTCGATCCTCGCTCTCGTCATGTGTATTATCATATTGCTGACAGGCGGGTTTGAAGTCTTCACAGCAGGAAATTGGGACGCGAGCGGCTTCATCTCGGCATACTTGTACGTATCACCCCTTGATGCTTCCATGATATTTATAAACCTGGTAGGTCTACGTATGCTAACAGTCACTTAGGGACATGCCACTCGTGCTTTGTGCGTATCTGATATATAAGTATGTGAAGAAGACCAGGGTCGCGTCGCTGAAGAGCATACCGCTTGATGACGCGATTTTACAGGCAGACCAGTATCCCGATGAACCTGAGGAGAAATCGGGAGGCTGGAAGCGTGCGATCTCTTGGCTTTGGGATTAATGTTTTGTTGATACGGCTTAAATTTAGACTAAACCAAATAGATTACTATAATTTCTTGATTCTATCCATAGCTTTCGATACACTTTGTTTGTTTCTCCTTACTCGACCCGACAATTTCAGACGAGGGAATCCGTCCAATTGACTACGCAGGCCCGATCAAAACATCAGCCTATCTGTCTCCTGGGTACATATTCAAGCTGCTGTAATCTTGATGTATCCAATAAATTCACCCGGATTCAACGGCTTCTCGCTCGCCAAGTTATTGCTATTGAGACCCAGCAATCTCAGGAAATATTATTCGTCCGCTTCGGTGTTCTGATAGTTGAAACCCCCCAATCCGTGACATTGACAGCTCCTAGAAATACGCCTGGCTGTGCTACCAACCACGAGGTATGAATCTACATTTTACTTGCAACTTTCTGAGATATATCCGCCATGCTCGCAATTATATTGCAGTGCCTAAGCTAGTAGAAAGGGTGCGCCTGCGGTCCAGTGTACAGGATAAGCATGTATTTAATTAAACTAATTAAACTATTTAGGGCAACTTAATCACATTACTGAATCTAGAATATTTAGACAATAAGTAGCTAAAAAGAGTGAGTCAATTATAAATGTAAGAAAATGTTGTCGTTTATTTAAACTTGCAAGTTGGTAAGCTACATAGCTACTCCAACAAAACTAACTAAAATTCATCCTAGCCAAGGTTCAATGTAATACAATACCATGGACTTAGGATAAGAAGTGAAAATTTTCACCAGGAAAAAAAAACCTCAAAAAAAAAAAGAACAAAAAGGAAAAAAATAAATGTCTAGCTCCACTCCGTTTCGATCGGAGGACCTCCGGGTTATGAGCCCGGCGCGCTTCCGCTGCGCCATGGAGCTTTTTGGAAGACATGAGAAACATGAGAATGTTTTCTGGATGAAAGTTGGCAACCGTATTACCACTTATAGCGTCCTTTGTCGCACCCACCCAATTACCTTACGTCCATAAGCCGTAAAAATCATTAAATATTTACTAGAAACATCTTTTTACGATTTAATCAATTATCTGCACCTTCGAATTTATATTGTTCTATCTTTTAAAGTACTCCTGTATATCCTGGGGGCATGTCTGCTTGTCATTGTCTAGACATTGCGCTCCTTTCCTGTAATTGTTCCACCAAAAGATTTTGTATCGTGAACACAGCTAGAGCTCTTGCAGATGATAAATGTAATAACAAGGTGGATAGCCTTGCATACTTTTCAATTGCATCTGTAGATACGAGACAACGATTCTGTCTACAACGGAACTGCAAACGTTGCTACTCAAATCCCCTCGGCCATGAGTCTTAGCTAACTTGTCCAGGTGCCTAGACATATCCATCTCCATTATTGCCACAGAAATCGGTCTAGTAATTTCGAGGCTGTATAGAGGTATATAGAGGAACAATTCCTCCCGTCTTATGGCCATATGTAGGTAAATGTTGGAGTCACGCTTTTGAAATATCCAAATTTTGTACTCGTACCATACCTCCTGACAAGACAGTATTACATTAGTACGAGGTGAGCAGCTCTCTAGTATCGTACTTAGAACCGGTACAATGATGTGTAAAAGGACCGGAGATGGCGGCCGAGACGAACGTTCGGATATCTTAAGTGTCGTGCCTCAAAGCTATAGTTGGTACTATTCAAGGATTGGCACCCCTTAAAGTCGAAACTATAACGGGTATATGAAGAACTTGTTCTCCAAATCCGTCAGATCTAGCATAGCAACGTCCACTTTTCTCGTAACGACCTGCCCATCCTCATCATATTGCTCGACACGACCGGCTTCCCTTTCCTCTTCGCTGAATTCCACGATCCATCTTTCCCGCTCTGCATTCCTGCGCGCCAGAATGAAGTGGATGATGAATAGGATAGCAGGCGTGCCGACCCAACTAATGACAATCATAGAAATCCAAGCACCGTAGTATCGGGGCGCCGCAACTGGAACCCATATCTGCGGCGACACGAGGTTGCCGACGCTATAGCCGATCATGAACATGACGTTTCGTGTTAGCTTCTTGGTGTAGCCCGCTGCGGACGATGTTGTCCAGCCGAGAGCGATGATGTACGTTACGCCGTACGTATGTCCTGCGAGCAGCAGACATGTTAACAATGCCAGTTTCCGATCCCACGGAATAGCTACCATGCCGATTCCGCCTGCTACGGCGGGAATGCACCAGATCAAGCTGTGGACCGCAAGGTTTCGTGGATGCCATTTGAGTGCCACAGCGGCAATGAGACAAACCACCACCCCGAAACCGCCACCTGCTGCTGCAACTAACGTAGAGCCGAGGCTGGAGACGCCAAGAGAGGTTGTCAGGAGGTTCTGCTGACCGTATGTGAGATTGTTTGAGTACATCAGCGTGAATGCTTGGAGCGCAAATAGCCACGAGACAGGATCCTTTAAAGTCTCGACAAGTTGGGCTTTCTTAAACTGCTTCTGTTCAATAGAGCTCTGACTAGACCCGTGTACCCGCTGTATAACTTGGACTTTCTCCTCTAAGGTGAGGAACCGGGCCTCGGCAGGGTTGTTAGGATAACAGAACCAAGTCCACATGGCGAGTAAGAGGGTCAAGCCGCCCGTAGTGATCATAAATAGCTTCCAAGGCAGCACATAGCTCTTGCTCCATAGTAGACCGTAGGATATAAATCCGGCCACGATGGGAGCACCCTGACAAGTGACCCAAAAGATTGGCTGCAGAAAAGCTTGCTCCTCGCGGTTGAAGAACATACCGATAGTGATTTCCATGGCGGGCACAATAACCGCTTCGACGGCCCCGAGGGCAAGGCGGAGGACAAGAAGGCCAGCGTACTTGGTAGCCACACAGTGAAGGAGAATGACGACTGCCCAGAGAAATATAATCGAGGCGACAAATCTGCCAAACGGAAGCTTCTGTAGAAGATAATGCCCAGGCCACTGGGCGGCAAGATACCCTGCGAGGATTAGGTCACAATATCCGCATGACGTTCCCGCGGAATATAATATACATACCGACGTAGAAAAATGTATTCAAGTTATTATATTCATCTTTTGTGATTCTAGTCTCTTCGAAAAGCCCCAGAATAGCAGCATATCCCAGCGTAGACTTGTCGATCTAAAGCCAACGAGAAGATGAGCCTGCTGGTGTCTGGCATAGGGGCAAGCGACTTACGAATAAGATGATGTTGATAGCAGATATCAGAATCATAATATTGCGGTATAGTTTCCGCTGCAACGCCTTTTCCTTCTCGGGAGTCAGAGGCCCAAATTCGTCCCCGTGGTCCTCGATCAAGCGCAGGGTAACATCTGCGTATTTCTCAGCCACCGTCTTGGGGACGGGCTGACGGTGAGTGGTAGACTGAGCCTCCTTTGTAGCACCCATGACGGACGGATAGCATTAGTTGGTGTATACATGTTTCTGCGCGTGTCTTGAGATACGAACCGTTGCTTTAAATATGAGCATGTTGTAAATTGATTAACTTGATGAGGCTTAAGGCTAAGGTCTTGCATGGTGACATTCGAGTTGCATATGGTGTGATCCAATTGTGTCATATACACTCAATCGTCTCTATTGGCCAGGGCTTGGCTTTTGGTAACCTATATGTCTTAATAGCTGGGTAGCGAGCACGTAATCACATCTAACTATAAAAGAGGCAATCTATGGGTATGGTTTATAGATAGCTCAATGTATGTCTCGGTTTGATACCCTGTCCGCATAAACTTGTATCCGGCACATTTGTTTTGTGGTGTCCGCCGGGATGCCCAGTATTCCCGTTCTCGTCGCCATGTGTCAGTGTTAAAGTCTTAAGGCCATTCATAATATTTAATATAATAATAATACTCTTAGGCCCGTAGTATAGTTTTATTGCCCTCGCTATATATATTTTGACAGTCATGTCGTAAGTAGTCCACTCTAGCTAGAATGGGATGCTACAATACTGTTTTCTCTCCATACTATTACTTTGAAATTATATCTACAAGCTCAGCTCTTGCCTAACTATGACTATACGTAGGCTATAAATTATACGAGAATCGTCTGCATGTCAGGCTACAGCAAATTTCGCGAATACCCCAAGGCAGTGTTGTTTATAACCTTCATAGTAATAGTCTTATCCAATAAATAATCTCCGCTATTGCCTTTATGCACAATATCTGCTTTATTCAAAAGATTTCCCCTATATTTATATTACTATCAGCCAACCACTTATGAGATATCTTCCTTATGATATTTCATATTATACGACTCTAAATTAGTTTACAAGTGAAAACATATACAATTATGAGCTTGTCAGCCGTCAGCTACCTAAGACGATCTGACTTAGTGTAGTTTTATCTAATAAAAGTAAGAATTCATAGGTTTAGGATAAGTAAATAATCTTCGCAATTCTAATTCAATAACTTTGAAGTTATCATGTCCTGAGCACATAAAGCAGTTCTCTTTTAAAAAGGGGTAAAATAATTATACGTTACGTAGCATCAGACGGCACGATCTACTTATAGTCACTCTATTAGTAAATACATACACCTTACATTCCTCAATACTTGCTAGGAAAAGGATTAGAAAAGTTATTCGAAGCGTTCAGGGTTTCCGGTCATGAGCATGTTACTTTATGTTAATCTTTATCATTACCATAGCTATATCAGGAATTCTAATTACTGAACGACGTCCCTCGAAAATATGATACAACCATCTTTGGTTTGCTCTTGGGCTCCTTCACGTCACCTAAAGACGGATCGCCCGTGAAAAGGAACGAGATTGCCCGATACGAATTCCCGGGAGCTTATGCCTCAGTTATGGAGTATCCCAAGTGTTCTTGGCACATTGAGTAACAATCGTCTTTTTGTTCGAGGCCCAGGCTGCCGTTTAAGTCTCATACCGAACTTGACTTTAGTATCGGCAAGACCAGAGACGGCCGAGTAGAATCGAGAGGGAATATAGACTGTCTCAACGAGTGACGATTCTTTTCGTTTTACTTTGTCTTACGTTAGTAGTGCCATCGATATTGAAGTACAGAAACATCTCAAGCTGCGGCCTCACCAATGACACCTGCGACCCCTGAGGCCAGGCGAATCTGCAATTTATTCGAAACTATTTTGTAATACGATAACGTCAATTTTATCGTTGAATTATATGAAGAAAGACAACTAGTGACATAGAGAGGGATATCATGTAAGTTTAAACGGGATTGTGTCCGAGACCTTTACTCTAAACTATGAGTAAAATCTTACAGAATGACACGACCATATGATGATCAATCATTGTCACCTACATAGGATAACAAATATGAAAATTTCATACAGAAACCTCAAAAACTCAAAAGTCGGCTCATCTTAACTACCTGATATTTGTAGATTCAATGTTGTGTTGCCAATCTGTGCGATAGCATTGCTTGCATAACAAAGTCACATGTTTAACTCATGTCTGATGCGAATTTCCGAACTGCCTTTTCGAAGGTGGCTACGACGTTCTTGTCGTGTGGCACGGCATTAATTATAGGGTCTTTGTCTTCATTTTGATTGGTCAATCATGGTGAATAAGCCCCATCACCTGCCTATCCGGGAAATCCCCAAAAGGCGAGAGCTTAGGTGTCCCACTCTAGGCCAGCATAGGCCAGCATAGGCCAGCACGGGCTACAGTACAATACACCGGGACCCCAGGCTGTGCTCCCAGCTCTTTCCCCAGCTCGTTCAGGCGGAAGGTCCATTCATAAGATCGACACGCAGGTCAAACTGCCAAGTTCCACCATCACTGACATTTCATCTTTGACCTTTCAAATCTTCGATCTAATCCCACTTGAACCTGTATTATTCTCCTCTAGACCAAAATCAAGCTTTTACAAATAGTCCAGGCTTTCTCATCTTTCTTGACCGGCCTTGGTTGACAGCTCTTTGTTTGTCCCATTATCGCATCACCTATTATTGGCTAATACGTATTCTACTATCTGCAAGCCACATTACCGCTAAATCCAAAGTACCTAATCTACTCTTTCATCCAACAAACATGCGTTTCTCCTCTGCCATCGCTGCAGCACTTGCCGTCGCCGCCGGTGTCTCGGCCGTCGACATCCAGAAATCCGTCATTGTTAGCTTCCCGAGTGGAACCACCGACGACATCGTCAACCGCGCAAAGGATGATATCCGAAAGGCCGGTGGTGTGATCACCCACGAGTACCAACTTATCAAGTACGCTCTCATTTCGATCGATGTTCTCCTCCTTACCTATGTCTTTTATTTCGACTGCATTACGTCAGGCGGCGAAACATATTCTTTTAATAGCGAATGAAATAGGCTGACTAGGTGATCCTTAACATAGGGGCTTCGCAGCTAAGGCACCGCAGAAGATCCTCGAGACGGTCTCAGCCTGGAGTGCCGAATACAACGCTGTCATCGAGGAGGACCAGGTGGTGAAGATATCCAAGGGCGAGAATTAAAGCACCGTAATGCTTGACCGCATACGTAACGACGGCCATGACTAAGGCGCCGGACGACCTGCAATATACCCCTCCTCCGCACTACGGAGCCCGCAGGTAGACAGACGGAACAGGCGTTGCTGAAGGACAGGTGATACGAAAAGTGGATCGAATTGGACAACATCCTTTTGGCGTTTTTTTGTATTTCTTCGGAGGAGATGGGTTCCTTAGGGCGGTTATAGTGTTCATAGGAAATATCACTCTCGCTGCACCATATTGTTTCAAGGTCTTTAATCCCTTCAAAACCCAGCCGAACAGAGTCAGTCGATGTGATGGGCGGTTGTGCTTTTAAGACATTTATTTGGAATATGCGGGTTGGCGTTGTCTATACGCTACTCACCATGACTGAAAACGCCGAGGATGCAAGGTTTCTTGGAGTAGGTAGTCTTAGCGTTGTCCTCTTGAATATGCATCAAGTCAGGAGGGAAGCAAGACAACATCCGGAGTGGTCATATATGGTATTTAGGAAATTAGCTTCGTTGGCTATATGCAAGTCGTCTCAGTGTCCCAGCAACCCGATTCCTACGCAGCTGCCACGTTAGCCGCAGAGTATAGTGGAGTTCACGATGGAGTCTCACCGCGTTTGACTCCCCACCCCTGTCTAGCGTTGCGTTGCTGTCTTGCCGCTATTTCGAGCTTAAGTGGACAGATGGGAAGTCAGAAACAAGATCGTATGTACGCCTTCGTGACGTGAAGTAGCTATTGGATTCTGCAGGGAGACACCGAGACTGGGCTGTTCTGGAGTCTAGAATATACGCAGGTATACTCACCTGATGCTAAAATAATTCTCCATGTGGTATTTGTGTGTGGGTTTTATTCCCCATTGAATGCCGTACATGAGTGTGGGCCCCCATACAGCGTTTATCAAAACGGCACGAGTGGAAGCCCTATTGAAGGAAGAAGCGGTAGGTCCATTACACACATCACTTGAAGTTGGGTGTGTTGTGTTGTCTACATAGAGGCCCAACGCTACATATCCATTCGGCCGACTCCGCTAGATTCTGGTCGGACTGCAAATATTATTAACTAGTCGTCTTGTCTTGTCGAATGCTTCTTTGGCTACCATCACCTATGCGTTTCTCGTCACGAGAGATGTTAGATCCATATGAGTCTGCACCACTCAGCTCCTCTAATTTGAATGTATGTGGCAGATTCACCACCTTGAAACTTCGTAGATTGGCCAATTATCTTTTTGGCGGATCTACATGTATGCGGAAAGGCTCCCCTTGAGATTCTCATAGTTAATTGAAATTTGACATTACTGCAGGCTAATCCCACGTGTGAACGACGAGCGTCACAGCGCGTAAGCTTTCTGAGGACTGAGGGATTGAAAGACTGAGAGACTGAGGAGTCGTTAACTGCCAATGATTGTACAGGCATTGTATCTGATCGTGCAGATATCGCGTATAACGTTGGTATTTCGGGATGACAGACCTGTCAAGTACTTGAGGGGTACGTAATTGCCAAAGGAATCTGTCTTAAGCTTTGACACTCGGGCTGATCGTGTTACATCGCGGTCACTGTGGGGGCAGACTGCATCTTGAAACAAATGGTGGTGGTGAAATGTGACGCTGCGCTGTCCATCTGAGAGTCCGGGCGTCGATACCAGCCGAAGTGACTTGTCTCAACTCGTCCGAAGAGACAGTAGATGGGATGATCGTTCTCGATAAGTTTGCGAGATGTTTCTTGCTGGTGATAATCTGCCAAATAGGTAGGTATGTAATATGAATTATCACACAGTTCTGTTTGCAAGTCCCAATGTCGAGAGTGTTTCTTGCGGTATGATTCAAACCGAGTATTTACGTAGGATGGTGTATTTCGTACTCTCTAACTCAGGTAATCAACTTATTCATTATTGCTATAAATTGATAAAAGAGATTTGTTATGAAGGATTATTTGACTATAATGGAATTATAAAAGGAATTCTTAGATATTTCATAACTACCTATTTAACTATTGTTCCCTTTCTTCTATTATTTAACAAAGAGCGATACTCGAGGTTGGGAAGTATTTGCTATCTTATTATTACAACACGTTCAGCTACCTACATAAAGTACCTCCTAACCTAATGCATGTACCTAATGTATTTACGCTATGTATAAAGTATCATAAAATCTACAAGTCCGTCGTACCTGACATGCATAGATGTGTACCATTAAGCATGCACATGTGCAGTTTTAGGTGTATTAGCACATGCATCATCCCTGTAAGTACAGGCGCCATAGAGTAGTAATCTCCTCTTTCGAGTGCTGTTTAATCGATATTGAGGGTCCACAAGAACCCGTGCCGCCTGGCCCGACGATCAGTTACCTATTCAATAGGTAATAATACTATACATTTCTAGGTACATAATGTACAATGTTTTAATACAATATGGGTAGCTGATTAATGTACCTTATGTATCTGATTGTGTCCCGTTTCTTCGTCGAGTTCCAAATGTGTAGCTACGACCTAATAACTCGAATAACTCGAACAACTCGAACAACTCAACCCGTCTTTGAAGTCAAGTCATAACTCCTTCACACTTCACAGCCTTGTTGGCTAATAATGACAATAAAGCGTCTCTACAAACGATGCTCTTGTTTATTTGTTGAACTCTTGTAATTCTTCAACACAATGAATTATACCTGTCTTTTATAGCGTTGTCTCCCATATTAAATCCTATTTTCTCCGTACTTCCTCCAATACGATTCGCTCCCATACACTCCCAATATCCCGAGTTCTCGACATACCGACATTAAGTATACTACATATTCCGCAAGTTTCAGGGTGCGATTATATCTGCATCCGGTATATATTTCTTGGGCTGTCATTCAGTCATTTCCTTTGCGCAGCTAGCTGCCGTTCCGGTCCTTTTAGAATCGAGTGCGATTCACGACCACCACTAATCTTAATATACAACAACAATTAGACCCTATATCCCAATCCCGAGGTAACGACTTACTGCCGACATGATCCCTTCCGTCACCTCGCAAGCCACGCAGGTGGCTTTGCTAGAATGGGTATGTAGTCTTCTATATCTTTTATGCCCCCTGTCTGCCTTTATATCTCAGGATGCGGCCAGCCGCTAACGTAGTGCCTTTATGTAGGCCAATTCGATGCTCGCAAAGCTGCTGCCTGGCCAGAATCGAGACATCAAGATCAAGAAACCCGATGATCTTTTCGACGGTGCTGTTTTCTCCGCTCTACTCGAAATTCTAGACGATGAATATAACCCCTCGAGATTTCAACAAAGCCTCGCCGCCACACCGACCGATAGCGATATGACCCAGGGCAGAAAGCGATACCTCCATATCATCCACTTGGGTCTCAAAGACATCGCGCGGCGACATGCCCCCAAGATCGAGCCCCTTATCGACTTGGTCGACTTTCAGGCACTGGCTTGGGAACCTACCAAAATAGACATGTTCGAGGTGAATAATTCTATATTACGGTCTTCTCAACCCCGGTCCTCCTCCAGCCGCAGTTCTCGTCCACCACACAGGTTCCCTGCCAACACTAACTGTTTCCAGATTTTGGTCCTCTTCGTATGTGCTGCTTGCTTACGTGAGGACGACAACAGTCGATACATCACGTTAGTTACGCAGCTAGACGAAAGGGTGCAACAGGGAATTTTCCGGATTATTAGCGAAAGCAGAACTAAGCTTGACCAGCTCGAAGAAGCCGCCGATGATGGTATTGATGCAAACTTCGATGATCTTGCGCAAGAAGCGGCGCTGGTGAATCAGCACCAGAAACTACAAGAAGATGTGCAGGAGGCAACTAGGCAAGCGAGTCTCTTAAAGGTACGATTGGACCGTCTTCAGGATAACTACGACGAGCTTCTAGAAAAGCATTCGAAACTCCAAGAAGAAAATGAGCATCTACATAGGCAGATCGACTCGGAAGTTAGCAACTTTAACAAGCACCATATCCAGCGCCAACTAAAGGAGAACGAGTCAATCATCGCAAACTTAGAGAATGAGAGGAACTTCTTAGTCGAAGAAAGGGATCGACTTTTGAAGGAGAGAGCTCGTCTGGAGCAAGTGGCACATAAAGCAGAGGCACTGGCCGACGAGAACCAAGAACTCCGCTCTAAAAACGAGGATCTTTCTAAGAAGGCTAACATGGCCGACAATTTGAGGAAGAAGTTAGAGTCGATGAAGTCGGTAGAGACGGAGCTCAAAACACTTCATAACGAACGGGTTGACGCAGCTAAGCTCCTGGAGCAACTTGAAATCTCTACGCTAAGGATAGAGGTCTACAAGAAAGAAGCGGAAAAATATGCCGAGCAATTTCAGAAGTATGAAGAAGAAGTCGCTAGTTTCGGAGACCAGAAGATTATGTATACATCAGAGATTAACGAGTTAAGAGGGCGCATTGAGGGTTTGCAGGCTCGAAGCCAGACGGATGAGGCTATCGTTAAAGATCTGCAGGAGAAGGTAATGATGCTCGACCCCACGGCCGCTCCGAGTACCCCCTCGGGGCACCCTCCAACCTCCCTTGAAGACGAGCTGAACGAATCTGGCAATTCCGTGTCGATGAGGAACATCGAAATCCAGCGTCTCCAAGCGGAGAATGCTGTTCTTAGGAGTAGCATAGGTACAGAAACAGAAAAGGGTCAACTCATCCATGAGATGGAAGATCTTCGTACTGCTCGACAAGCACTACAGGACAAGTATAACGACATTTTCGAGAAGTATACCGTTAGTCAACACCAGCTGGATGCACTTATCCAGAACATGGGTAAAGATGGGTTAGTTCAGGCTCTTCAAGCTTGTTATAATATCGCATCGAACACAACGTGGCTGATGTCCAACTACTTCAGAGACGAAGCGTATTCCAACCTCCGGACTCAGGTCCTCGCCGAGCAGAACCGTTGCAGGCAACTCGAGCGACAACTAGAATCTACGAACCAGAAACTTGCCGACAAAGAGCGAGCTCTCTTAGAGTTGCAAGGTGATTGTAAGATCATCTTCAGGGAATACATGACTAGTTTGGACGATGCTGACTATGCGAAACAAGTTAATGCTGTCGAGAAGTCTAGCCAAGAGGCACTCGCAGAGCTTAAGAGAACCGATGGCATGCTTGCTATTTCCCTACGCGCCGAGCTCGAAGCGGAAAGAAATAAACACAAGTTGCTCAGAGAGGAGTTCGAAAACCAGCGGTCGCAACTCTTGACGGCATTCATCGAGAAAGACCAGCTGCGACGCGAGGCCGAAGTAGCTAACCGCGAGATGCAGAGGGCCGCAGACGGGCTCTCTGTCAACACGGATAGTGCCAAGCAATCCGAGAAAATGGAGAAGCTGCGGGCACGATACAAGCAGCTACAACAGGTGAGTTCATCTGTTTCTACTCCATCTCTCGCTGGTTCTACCATCGCCGATGGCGAAGACGAAAATAGAGACGAAGACGAAGGCGAAGGCGAAGACGTTACCAGAGTCACAGTCAAGCATCAGTCCGTTTGGAATGTCGTAAGCTCCTGGTTCGGGCAAAAGAAAGAAAGTCCTGAAAGTGATTCTCAAGCGAGACATATCGGTCCCTCTAGTATAGCTAGTCGCCCATTATCGGCCCCTATAGGTATTCCGCGTGGTGGTGGCATCCCTAGAAATAGATATACCACATCCAACTTCAAGAGAGGTGGTTTACAAGGCAGTGCAAATCCGGTGTTAACTCCCGTGTTGGCACACGTTTACCGTAGCACATGGCACGAACCGAAGCCAAGTGGCTGGACTAAACAGATTAGACGACGAGACGCTAGTTCTGAATTGCTATGATACAAAAACACTTCCGAACATACAGACTGACTAAACTTGTTTGATTTACAGCAGTATGAGCAGTCCGATGTTAAGAATCGGGAGTTAGAGCGGACGCTGAAAGCTGTCCGTGCTGGATCGGAAGCTGGTGTTCAGAAGGTATGTAAAATTTTCTACGTTCATTTCTACGTTCATACGTATATCGGTGGATCAGTCGACGGGATAGACCAGACAAGTCTTTATCTACTCTGTAGTTTCATAATAGCTAAGAAATATGTTTCTTATTTAAACATCATGTATCATTATTTGTCCTGTATCTGGAGACCGTGGCTTATGAGACTTCCCCCTTTTTATTGCGATGGAGGAATTCTGTCAATGCCTAACAAAAGAAATGACAGGCACGAACCGACCAGATCATCAAAAACTTACAACGCGAAAACGCGATGATATCTACCGCATGGTACGATCTCACCAATAGACTACAGAGTACCCACGTCGTACTGCAGCGACGACAAGAGGTTCCTCGGAGCTGGCTAAATAAACAGAGGCAGATGGTGAATGGTAAGTAATTAATTTTCTTTAGTTTCTCGGATATCAATACTGACGAGTAGAACAGCTACGCCTCGGAAGTAGGATCTCATTGCGTGACACATGCCGCTTTATGTGGACTTATATGGACTTATAACGCCCAAGATTGATCTTTTCTTTCTTTTGAAGTTGCTGGCAGAGCCGAAGATGCCGATGTTGCCTTTGAACATGCGTGGCGGGGGTCTGTTCTTTTGTCCTCTTCCGCCTACATGTTAAGCTCTTTTCAGTCTGTATTACAACGCAGTGACTATCGTTATATTCCCCCTTTCCCCCTTTCCCCCACCACCTCTCAGAACAGCATTTCTTTTTATATTGGCAGGTATAGTCACGGCAATGGGTGGTGTCCTTGATGATCGGCATATATGTCTTTTCGTGCGTACCTAGATTATACCCACTTTATTATAGGTAGTTTTAGCAGTGGACGCATTCGAGAGAGGGAAGTTTATAATGGACTAGGGCCACGATGTCTTGAATATGGAATTTGTTATTATTGATGACGCAAGTTCGTGCATCGGCCGCAATAAATAAATATATGTTAAGTTACGCATTCGAATTGGCTACCTCGTCTGTCCGTAGTAGGAACCCGGCAAGGTGTAAAGAAAGTCATACCGCGCTACAGACGCAAAGACGCAAAGACGCAAAGATTATAGTCCGAGTATAAACCATAAGGATCAGGGACTCGACAAACACGTATCGATTCAATTACTATATGGTGGCAATAAAATGAAATATACAAATCTTAATATTAAGTTGGATATATGTATAAGTGTTGGGCATAGCGCTCAGCATTGAAGCCTCAAGATCTTACTATAAATTGATGGATCGCCGCCATCCGCCTTCGATAGAATTGCTTCACCCCTTACTATCATATTCACTCATATCCTTTGGAGCGGCATACTTCCGTTCTGACATCGTCGAAAAAGATGAGCCCCTTTTTTAACTTCATCGCAAGGCAAAGGCGAATAGAGCCCTCACATCAGCCACAACAAGAGCAGACACTAAATACCAAATGTTTTATTTTAGAACTACCGGCGGAGTTGATAATCCATCTATCAAGCTTTCTGAGCCCCTCTAGCTGTATGCTATTTTCACACACGTGTCGTTCGACACACAAGATATTGGGTACTAAATCGACCAACGTCTGTCACAAGAACCATGCCCATTATACTCGCTGGCAACACATCAGCTATCTCAGCTTGCTTTCGAGAGATCTCCCTGATTATTGGGTCTGTGAAGCATGTATTACACTACATATTGTCGACGAACAGGACGTGCCAAGTGTACCAGGAAAATTCACTTGCCCCCTCGGGTTGAGCCACTGGAAGGCACTTGTCTATAACGAGCGGACTAGAGTAGATTGTCGTTTTCTCGCCCTAGAGCATCGGCATGTTCAGCTCGCTCTGAAGTATATGCGCATGAAGGACCCCAAATACGATGCTTATCTCCAGGCACTACTAAAGCCGTACTATGTTTCGCGGTTCCCTCCTTATATGAATGAGTTCTGGTCGCAGCAATATTCAGCATTCTCTTCCTTATACGAAGCTAGTTACTCGGCCCATCCCAAGATCGTTTCCGATCCCGATGGCAAACTCAGATTCTTGCTCTTATCCACCTGGGTTTACAAGGCAGACCCGAACGTGGCTATATCATGCATGGCTATATCACGCATGGCCATGGGCGAATTGGCCATATGCCCACACTGCCAGTTTCGCTCAGGCAGGAACTTCTATTACATCCGCGGAAAGGAACCTGCGCTCGAGGATGCTCTTGGCAGCGCGCTCTTAATGGTGCATAAGTACCAATGTGGGGGCATGGAAATGCCTACCGGCTCGTGCCCACGATGTCCCACAGACTTTGCGCTACAAGCAACGACGCATTCCGTCGAGATTCAGGCCTGGCAAGATATGGGAACGGAGGGATCACCGAGGGATTTATCCTGGAGAATTCATACCATGGGCCTCAGCGCTCGAGAAAATAGAGACTGCCTAGACGCTTCGGTCCCGCACACTCCGGGGAGCATCCGAGAACGGTTCAACGCTGCGCAGGACCCTAAGCCACGACAGCTATGCGTATGGGGGCATATAACCGATCAAATCTACGAGTTTTAGGCAGGTTTATTTACTGAGTGACCGCCAGTTGTCGATGCGTCGGTTGACACCAGTCAACAGCTTTGAAGATGATATAATTCTGCAAAATTCCCCTAGCACTCTGTCAGACTGTCTGGATATAACTACCGAAAATAGCTGATATTCGATATAAGAATACCGTGACGGAAAACGAGTGGAAAACAATATGTATAAAATATAAAATATAAAATATAACGATAAAATATAAAGAAAAATATACAGCCTTCCTCCTTAGGTCTAGTGCCTACCGAGCAGCAGCTTATTCCGGCTATCGGAACAGAACAGCCACATTTCAGCCATTGGAGACCGAAGAGAGAAGTTGGAACTTGGCGCCAGCAGCACTAGGGATTAGCTTAGGTATACTGCCCTTTCTGCCTTTGTGAGCTATGCGCTAAAGAAACTGATTAGCAAAGTACCTTGCAGTATCATCTAACTAGCTAGCATCATACTGGTCATGGATCGTCTAGGATTTGGGTCTCCTCACTTTTGAACGCTACTTTTGTAGATGCTGTAAGTAAAAGTTTAGATTTACGGTTTACGGTTTACGGTTTACGGTTTACAGTTTACGCGAAAGTGAGGGTAGGATGTTGTCAATGTCAGGCGAGTCTCTAGCTAGACACTACCTAACCTAAGGTCACGTGGTACAGGGTACATCTAAGTACAATACATAGAGTAAGTGCGATATGAGTGCCGAGGGCACGTGCACGTACTTATTTTTCTTTTTCTTTGTTCTAGAAGTATATTTATTAGCAGACAAGAACCAGCTATTATCCACATACCTACCTATTATAACTCACAAATGTGACTCAGAACCGCACTGTTGACGCTATATCACCTACCTTGACAAGTGGCTGCAACATTTGATGGTTAGTTCCGGCCTATAGCAATAGATCTGGCAACAAACCTTTTTATATAACATACATCTCCGACAAACCATCAGCATAACCCACCATGTCTACCTTTGGGCAATATCTGCGTGTAACCACATACGGTGAGAGGTAAATATCTAAAATATCTATTTCAAGCTAGGATGGCGCTGGTTGCTAATTTCGTAGCCATTGTCCCAGCGTTGGATGTATTGTCGACAATTTTCCTCCTGGAGTCCCGGTCTCGGAAGAGATACTTCAGCCTCAGGTTAGTATATGGAACAAACATGACACTTGAAAGAACTTTATAACTCAAAATTTCAGATCTCTCGCCGTCGTCCCGGTCAAAGCTCCATTACGACACCTCGGAATGAGGCTGACCTTGTGTCAATCCAATCAGGGGTGGAAGGAGGAGTCACACTCGGGACCCCGATAGCCATGGTCGTCAAAAACCAGGACTTCCGCCCCGCAGACTACAAAGGCGATACCATGAAGCAGTATCCTCGCCCCAGTCATGCCGACTTCACCTACCTTGAGAAGTATGGTGTTCGTGCATCGTCAGGTGGGGGCCGCTCAAGTGCGCGAGAAACAATCGGCCGTGTGGCGGCGGGCGCTCTTTGTGAGCAGTACCTTAAACTTTCCCACGGGATTGAAATTGTTGCCTGGGTTTCATCTGTCGGGAGTATTCATCACATCCCACCAACAACTGAGTATCCTTGCACTTCTAATAACCCCGAGTTTCTCCAACTGCTCCAGGGGATTACACGGGAAACCGTTGACAAGTCACCTGTCCGGTGTCCAGACCCGGAAGTGGCTGCCAAAATGGAGCAGTGCATTACCGAACTTAGAGATCGCCAAGACAGTATTGGAGGCACAGTTACGTGTGTCATTCGAAACGTTCCAACTGGACTTGGCGAACCGGTGTTTTCGAAGTTGGAGGCGACACTTGCCCACGGAATGCTCAGCATTCCAGCGACAAAGGGATTTGAGATCGGCTCTGGATTTGAAGGAACAGAAATCCCTGGGTCCGCTCACAATGACATGTTTATTCGCAACACCAATATCGATTCGGACTCCAAGAATGGATTTGCGAAACCAAAGCTCACAACATTGACGAACAACAGCGGAGGTATCCAGGGAGGAATCACAAACGGCGCGCCCATCTTTTTCCGTGTCGCTTTCAAGTCGCCCGCAACGATTGGACTGCCTCAACAAACGGTCACATTTGAAGGAGAAAGTGATGGGTTTCTAGAGGCCAAAGGGCGTCATGATCCCTGCGTTGTTCCACGTAGGTCATACCACTCAACGATAAACCCGATTCTGCTAACCATATTTAGGCGCTGTTCCAATCGTGGAGGCCATGGCTTCGATTTGCATTCTGGACGCTCTTTTGATACAAGGAGGTAGAAGGATGGCGGCGCTCGGGCCGTGAAGGATAAAATTGTAGGTACTGTCTTGAAAGATTGATTAGGGATCAGAGGCTTTTCTGTAACATACCTACTCAAGTCATAGACTAATACAGTGTTGATGAACGACGGTCAATCACGTAAGCTGGTAGGGGATGAGCCGTATGACATTCAGACATCGCACGTTATAACAAGCCGGTTTGACATACTATGTATATCGTGACCTGTGATTATGTAATTACCTATACAGACACTATTGCTGACATAATGTCAATAGATCCCCCCCAGCCCCATAATATAATGTAACTGTAACCTTAGCTGCCTTAAATACTTAGGCAGGGGCGACTAGGTAAGCACCCCCTAAGCAACCCTTAAGCTGATTTCAAAATGATTGCAAATCTCTCTTAACTGCAACTTCGCTAACTGTTAACTGTTAACTACCTCCTACTACCTACAGTATTTTAAATACCCTCACACCTCACATCAGACATCAGACATCAGGTTGTCGGTTGCTTACCTGACCATCATAAAGTTTAATCAGCCCTAGTTCATTCGCGCGATTCATATTAAACCCGTAATCTACATGATTGAGACATAATCGACATATCATAATTCTAATTGCAATGTCGCCGATCGTCTGCGCCTGTTTATTGCTACTAAGATGAATCTAGTAGCGACAACACCAATAGCATCAATAACGCCAACAACAGCAGCAGCGGCATTAGTAGCGGCCATGTCTCGTGTTCAACATAGATCGCATCGTCCACAATGAACACGTCTAATCATTCCAGTGAGACCAACAAGGGTCGCGATATATTTCTTCTTCCGCCATCAGATCCCGAACTAATCTCAAAAATCCCAAGAATTCTCCCTCATGAACGCGTTTTCCCTATCCAGATAGGAACTGAACTATTTAAACTTTCTGGAGCATCTATTTCATCTGACGGTGCGTGAGAAAGCAACCCTTGCCCTCAATTCTTATCTAGACGCATGGTGTCAGCCATACTCTCGACACCTGCAGTCATTCCCGCTGGGAGAGTGAATCTCGTTTCTAGCTTATATGGGGGATGCGCCACTCTTAAGGACACCTTGCTGACCCGATCATCTAGCTCCGTCTTATTTCTCACGGTATTTTCAGTGTCAAGTTGCGAGAGCTGAAGAAGCCGGTGAAGATATATCAACGGCAATACGGACCCTTTATATAGATCGGGATCCCGTTACCTTTAGAGATATTTCCCTTCATCTGCAGGGCTACCATGTTACCCCACGTGACGGGACGCACTTCGTGCGTCTCTTCGCCGACGCTCAGTTCTACACCCTACCCAAGCTGATGTCGCAGCTTTATGAAGAGTCTATCTTCATTTCTATAGGTCATCGCGAATTCCAGATTCCGCGCGACATATTTAATGGTCCCGGAAATTCGCCTAATTTCTTTTCTTTGGGCTTTGGTGTTTTCTTTTCGACGCGCGAGGAGATCTTCCCTGGGCTAGACAAGGAACATCTGATCCGCCCTCCTTCTATTATGCCACCTTGTGTACCAAACCGGTCTGCTGATATATTTAATGAGCTGCTACACCTGTTGCGCGGATATCCCGTACACATACGCGACGAGGAACATCGCGCCTCGTTGTTACGCGATTGTCGTTATTTCAACTTTAAGGGCCTAGAACAGAAGTTGATCCCGCACCAGATAAGCTATAATCTAGCTCGGCGACGACACGAAATTACTCTTAGACTTGAAGATATTCTGAAATCGGGCATCTCGATTGTTAGCGATGTTATGACACCAAGTGGTACTGGTGAATCTGTGTCAGGGTGGGTTAATTACATGCGGCCGTATGAAGATGATAAACAACATGAGCTCATCCTTGAAATTGGAGGCGAGAATACGAAGTTGCATATGAACATCATGCGAGCAGAGTTCTTCGGCCAGATCAAAGTTCGTGTAGCAAGGCTCTTCGAGGTAATCGCTACAAAACTTAACCTTCCGCCAACAACCCAACCATTGGGACTATTAATGGCATCGGGCGGAGCTAGCAGCCAGCCAGCGACACCAGGAAACACCCCGTTGAGTGAGGATCTCGTTCGAGTAGTAATCGAATCCGATACACATGTTGTCCTCGACGGTAAAACATATAACTTTACAGAAAACGATGAAATGGCTACTGCCATGTCAACTTCATCGTCAATGGGTCACGGGGGCGGACAAGAGTCGCCCCTTTCTAGTATAGGTGGATATTTCGGGCCTCCAAGGAAAAGGAGACGGATAGACTTCTCAAGCCATACAGCAGACGAGTGGATAGTCCGCACGGGACAGTGGAAGCTCCGGATACAAGGCTCGAGGAACGGAAAGAGCGCGGTCGAGTGTGTGCTTGTAGCCGTCAAGATCGATGCTTACAGCACTGAGCAAGCGAGAAACGCCCAGCGAGGGTTTTTAAGGGGTTGATGATGTGACGACCCTAAAATCAGTGCACGTTACGAAGGATCAGTCTTTATTTACCGGATCAGTGCTGTACTAACTGCTATTATATTTATGTATCTATATGACGAGTATTATAAATGTATTGCTTATTTACCATTATTAGCAGCGACAGCTTGATCTAATTTGGCTTAACATTGTAGATTAAGACTATAAATAGGTATCTTTAGATTAAATAGTAGGCCTTTAGCTGTCTCGCTGGTCGGCTGTGCGAGATACGTATCACGGGGCTATGAGTTCTTCGCGCAGTTTGCCGCGGCTGCTGATGTCCTCCGGGTACTCGCTGCACGGATAGGTACCTATATTTATATGGCTGTTCGCCGTGGCTATCATAGCTATCATAGCTAAATTACAAGGGAGATTTTCTACGTCTGCTACATACCTATCTAACATTTATCACTACCACAATGATGAAATTGGGACTCTTGAATTATATGTTATTTCGAGACGAATAGCTAAATCTAGGGGGGGTTCTACAATGTACCCAAATAGGTATGTGAAGATTGATATTATGAACTTTAACTACCTAACCTAAGGCAACTGTTTATATACGTGTTTATTGATAGAATGTATTTATGAATAGAGATAATGTAGGGGACTCTAGTTATCGATAGATGTATCCAGACGAGTCTAAGATGATGAAAGGATGAAAGACCTGTCGCTGCCGGAGGCAATGAAGAAAATACACCTTTAGTACAGAAGGCTCTAATACCCTCGTCCAGATGAGACATCTAGAACAAAGAACGCGTTCAGTACAGGTACCTAGGTATGTATAGACGTATATTCTCGCAGTTGGGTAGGTAGGTTAGAATTACTCGCGGAACAAAGAAGCTATCTTTGTGCTGTTTGGTTCCACCTATGCTGGGCGAACGCTGGGGGCCGGTAGGCATGGGGAGCAAGGCGGCGGGATATAAGTAGCGATGGGTAACAGTAGAGGAATAGGGGTAGGACCGTGAGCATTTGCTCTCGAATTGTTTCGGGCCAGTCGGTTGTACTTTTGCGCCTTCTCGGCTGGCCTTTCGCGGTTAGTTTAGTTGTATATAGCGTTAAGGCTCTTTTGTCGTATGTATAGCTGTATAAGCGTCGTTCCGCGCCATCACTAAGGGGGGGGGGGGGGGGTAGAGGTCTTAGGATGTTCAACACTAGCGTAACCACTCTCAATCTTCGTAAGAGTGTCAGGAGAAAGCTGTTCATCTGCAACAGCCTTGGGGATTGTCTGGATGTTCTGATATGTGATGAATATCTTGCCATGTCTTTCCCCTCTAAAGGTTTTTGCTGGAGGGAGGCTGTCCCATATCGTACGAACATTTCTACTAAATCGTGTTGAACATCCTAGTGACCTGTACAGAAGTGTATTAAGGAGGGACACATTAGTTAAGCCCGATCGATATAAATTAGGTATACCGATCAGTATACTTGGGTTAGCCAGACACGAGGCAGAAATCGGAAGATTATATCGGGCGCTAGGTAGCGTAGGTGACGTAGTCGGCGATTCATCACTACCCGCGGCCTCGGCGGGGGTCGTATTGCTTCTGCTTGTGGCGATCGCTAGGTGATATGGCTCGGGTTCGAGCCGGGGAGTTGGCATATTTGCGCTTTTTAGCCCCGAAGGGCAATGTTAGGGTGTACCGAACACAAGCAGGAATCGAAGCATCGCCGTATGTGGTTATTTATAATCGCCGAGGATAGTATAGGCGTAGGTCTAATGGTGGGGATAGGTATTATGATAGTTTATGTTTAGGGTAGCATTAAAGATACGTGGGTAATAGGTATGTGGTATGTACGTTGGTATGCTCGATCAATTAGGATCGGGACGTAGCACAAATGGGGCAATTGAGGTAACGACGTAGTCGTACCGATTCCGAGGGTAGAGAGGATCGGTCTAGATGGTAGCATAAATGTAGTCGTTAAAAAAGCCGGCTACGATAAAGAAAGTCCAACAGAGTAATGATGCCGCTTAGGAGGAGTTACTGGGTTGAATCAGCAAGACAGGGCCAAGGGTGATCCTCAAAAGCCTCGAACATCCCTTTCCATTGCTGCTCATAGTTAAAACAGCTTAACTAGCGATGTAAACTAAGGATATAGATAATAATAGTGAGTGTAAGGGACGAGCACCTCCGGGGTAGGAAAAGACATGTCCACTAGAAAGGTTGCTAACGATACTGGAACAACATAGGGAATAACATGAAAAGAATAGTTGTCATAATGTGTAGGTAGTTTCGATATATATAAGTAGGTATATAGCTGACAGAAGCTTCTTGTATGACTGGAAGAAGCATGCGTTAAAAGGATGAGTGTATTTAAGATAGAGACTTGATAAACTTAGAGATTGGATTCCGATCAACTAAGTCTGCTCTCATATGTTAAGAGTAGTAAAACTCAACAGTAGGACGTATTGCTAGATGGCATAGCAAGTAAAAGATGGGGGAAGGGAACGACTTTATATTATTCTGCCGTAGAGGAATGCTAGTGAGACCTCAAGGGGAGCTTTGATGGTAACTACATGTCTACGAACATTGCAATCACTGATGAGACTCTTTCAAAGGCTCGTCCATGGGGCTTCGTGGGAAATAGCGTTGGGTCTTCTTGCAGGTGAAGCGGTGATCCGTGTCGGAAAACCACATGGCAGCTGAAAAGGAGACTTCAGGATAGGCGGTATGAGTTGTTAGACATTATGCATATTGAATTTCACGGGCGTATACCTTGACATGATGCTGGTTTCCATGTCTAGAAAACAGGAAATAGAATCTCAACTATAGCATCTGCATATAAGGAGCAATGATTCATGATGGTTATCGGGTTGGCGTGGTATTGCCTTGTGTTGGCTTGTAATGAAAACGATAGTGGTGCTTCTCTAATGCCTGAGGTGCCTAAGGCCTGAATTTGTTCTACAAGAATATACTTCCTTCTGATAGATTCATATCCATACTCTTACATAGGTTAGGTAGGCACATTTCTCTAGTGAATCCTCGGTGAAAGGGGTTATGTCTTGTGGCCTT